TGCCAAGGCATTAGAGGTTAGTTTTATGTTTGATGAAATATAGCAGGCTACTTTTTATTTAAAAAATATATTTTTATTGATTTTTCACAGAAAGGAAGAGAGCTAGAAACATCAATGAGAGAGAATCATCGACCAGCTGCCTCCTGCACACCCCTACTGGGAATGTGCCCGCAACCAAGGTACAAGCCCTTGACCGGAATTGAACCTGGGACCTTTCAGTCCACAGACCAACGCTCTATCCACTGAGCCAAACCGGTTTCGGCACAGGCTACTTTTTAAGTGGGTAATTTTACCTAGCCTGCAAATCCTACATAATAAAACCCTAATATGCAAATTGACTAAATGTCGGAATGACCAGTCGCTATGACACACATTGACCACCAGGGGACACTCAATGCAGGAGCTGCCCCCTGGGGGTCAGTGTGCTCCTGCAAGGGGAGCACCACTCAGCCAGAAGCCGGACTCACAGCTGGCGAGTGCAGAGACAATGGCGGGAGCCTCTCCCACCTCCACTGCAGGAAGGCGGTAAGGAACGAGAGGTCCCAGGCTGCGAGAGCCCCAGACTATGAGAGGGATGTCTGTCTGCCTGCCAGCTTAGGCCCGATCTCCCAGGGAGATCAAGCCTAAGCCAGCAGGCAGACATCCCTCAAGGGGTTCCAGACTGCGAGAGGGCGCAGGCTGGCTGAGGGCCCCCCAAATTCGTGCACTGGGCCTCTTGTAATGTTATAAATATCCAAATGGCCGTTGGCAGAAAAAAAGTTCCCCACCCCTACTCTAAACTTAGGCTGGTGACAGTTTTTGGTGATGGTGTTCTGGCCCCTCACTAGGAAGGGGTGGAATGAGAGTTGGTGATAAAGCAAATCCAGCCCACCGTTCCTGCAAGGGCTCTGAAATCCCCGTCCCCCTTTCCTGTTGCCTTTCTACCAGGAGATACAGTTCCCCACTTCCCAGATAAGAACCTTCTCGATCCAGCCCAGTTTGGCTCAGTGAAGGGTCCCATGTTTGATTCCGGTCAAGGGCATGTACCTTGGTTGCGGGCACATCCCCAGTAGGGAGTGTGCAGGAGGCAGCTGATCAATGTTTCTAACTCTCTATCCTTCACCCTCTCCTTCTCCCTTCCTCTCTGTAAAAAATAAAATATATATATATATTTTTTTTAATTAATTTTTTTTTAAAGAAAAACATTCTCTTTCCAAACCCTGCCTAATACCATTTCAAGTTGGGAGAGTTGGAGGGGGTCCTTTAGCTAGTAAGTCACAAACCCAGACAGCCTTACCCCAGACCCACAGAACCAGGATGAGGAATCCTGATTGGATTCACATTCCTTTTATAGTGACATCAGACAGGAAGAAGCCCTTCCCTAGGAACACAGTCAGGGCGGTGGGAAACTTGGAACTGAGGCTCCCGACCTCACTCCGGGGGCTCTCCACAGGACACACCTCTCAGTGCTGCTTCTTGCATAAAACAGGTGCTCAATAAGCGTACGTTGGGTCAGAGTTACAAAAGATTTTTTAACATGGTGAGGGGAAAGAACATGAGTTGGGAGTCAGGCAGATCCTGTTGTGAAAGACCACTGGCTAGCTTTAGCCTCCTTCACTATAAAATAGGCCATTAGCCTGGCCAGCATGGCCCAGTGGTTAGGCATCAGCCTATGAACCAGGAGGTCGAGGTTCGATTCCCATGCCTGGATTGCAGGCTCGATCCCCAGTAGGGGGCATGCAGGAGGCAGCCCATCAATGATTCTCTGTCATCACTGATGTTTCTCTCTCTCTTCCTCTCCCTTCCTCTCTGAAATCAATAAAAACATATCTTATAAAGTATAATAGGCCACTGACTCTCTCCCAGAGTTGTCAGTGAAGACTAGATGAGCGCCAATGTGGAGCGCAGGAAAGGCACTTACTACATGGCAGTGGTTATGAGAGAGAGGTGGTAGAGCTGCGATAAAAACAGATTATGGAACCAGGCGGGCTCCACAACTTGGAAGTTATTTTGCCTCTCTTTCCTCATCAGTAGATGAGGATAAAATAAATCGATACACATAGAACATTAAGAGCAGTGTGTCTGGCATGACATTTTAGCTCCAATGATTATATTCTATCCCTTGCACTGGCCCTAAGCACAGTAATCCAGTTCAGCCTGGAAGAGAGAGGGGGGAAGACTGAAATAGTAAGAGAGAATGAGAGAGAAACCCCAAAACTTTACATTAATAGGAATAAAAGATACAGGTGTCAACACTAACAACAGCCCATGGAAGCCATGGAAAGCCTTCCCAACACACTTGTTAGGCCCCTTTGAATTGCTGCATCCTTTCTTTTCTGCTCACTATCCTTCTGAGTATCTGTTTCGCATGTGAACTGTGTCTTCTCGCGAGGGCAGAGACCCTGTCCTCTCCCCATCTCGGGTATATAGTTGGGCGCCAGCGAAGTGCTCAGTTGATGGGAGGATGAGTTGGAGAGTAGCTATAGAAGGCGACATTCCTCGGACCACGACCACCACCACCACCACCACCACCACCAAAAAAGAACGCCAATCCAGTCATTGCCAAGATAAATCACTTTTATCTCTATAGGAAAGGGAGGACCTAAAAAAAATATAAATTACATTAGTAACACAACATAAGAAAAAAACAGGGGGGAGGGGGAAAAAACAAGAGAAGTCTGTATGATGCTATTCTAACCTGTTTATAAAAAGGCCCTGCATCAGAAATTCACAATCCTACCCACTTCTAAAAATATATTTAAACATGTACAGAAGCGGTGGGCTTGTTTTTAAATTGTTTGCTTTTTTGTAAAAATATATTAAAGGTGAATAGAAATCCTCTCTCCCTGCCCCCTATCTGCCCCCAGCTCCGCACTGGGGATGGGAGACCAGAGGTAACTCTCACCGTGTTCTAACCCTTGGTTCCTACCACTCCTAACCCCTCCCCAACTCACTTCACTTAGAACCTGAAACATTTAAAAAAAAAAAAAAAAAAAAAAAAAAAAAAGCACACTAGCCTCTTTGGAAAAGCATAACTCTGAGGGTAAACTTGCTTTTCATTGGAAACACAAAACAACAAACAGGAAGCTCTGGCAGTCCTAAACTAAAAGGAAACCCAGTCATGTGGAGGTTGGGTTTCAGCTCCACAGAAACTCCTAACGAAGAAACAGAGGAGAAGAGGCCTGGAACGAGGGGATTTGCTAGCAATTAGCTGCCTTTGAAAGATCAGGGGGAGGGGCTGTTAATGAGCAGAAGGGCGGGGTCCTGGTCTTGGTTACAGCAGTCAGGGCCTAGTCAGACAGTTGCCTACAGGGGGACAAAGGCTGCCCCCTCCCTCCCCTCACCACCCTCTGCTGCCTTGAAATCCCAGGAAAAGCAAAGCTGGGCAGAAAAAGAGAGGAGGGGAGTGGGGACCTCACGTGCAAAGGGGGAGGTAGCCAGGCTTTTTGCCTTTGGTGTCACTAGGTGGAGGACTGCTTGGCCCCTGGGGTCCCCAAGGTAGAAAAAGCAAACCGGGCTAAGGGACCCCTGATTCCAAGGAAGGGGAGTCGATGTGGGCTGTGGAGAAAGAATGAACTGGAGACACCGAGATGACACAGAGGTCTCACATTTTCCCTGTGGCCTGCATGGCAGCTGTTAAGCTCCCCAGAAGCACTGGGCCAACTGGGTGAGGCTGGAGAGGGGTGGGGGTGGAGGTGGGGAGTACGGGTGCACTCCACCTGGGCAGTGCCAACATGGGGGGGGGATCATTCTCCATCTAGTCCAGGTTGCCAGAAAAGGCAGGCCAGGTGGAGGTGGAGGGAGCTGGGGGACAGGGAGGGAGAGGGTGGGCACTGTCTGGACAATAGACATCCACAAAGAGAAGGGGAAGCAGGATCAGATGACCAGCTCCTGTGACGGGAGTGCTCCCTCTCCCAGGCTCTGGCCTGTGGCCTCCGCACTCAGCTCGAGTGTCCACCTGGCACTGGGAGTGCGACGGCCAGGAGTGAAGGTGTGAGACCCGTGGTCTTCTGATCAGGATGTCCGGTGGGGGAAGAAGCAGGGCCGAGCTGTCCTGCCACGTCCTCCCTGGGAGGTCCGCGCTGCGTGCTGGGATACAGGTGAAGAAAGTAAAGTCATCTGCTTCGGCGGCAGGTGCCATGAGGCTTTGGGAGACGGTTTTCACCTGCTGGGACTCAGCACAGCGGCGTGGATCAAAATCCAGGCCAGTGCCTGGAGCTCAGCCTGGGGACTTCATCTGTAGCCACTCCGCAGTAGCTTCCGCCAACGGGCTCTAAAGTGATGCTCAACGTCATGGTCAAAGGCTCTCCGCGCCTTGAGAAGTGACAGGAAGCTCTCCTTTCCCAAGGAGGCATCAAGTCAGCCCATGGCCTCTCTGGGCTCCCTCTGGCAATGGCTCCCTCTGGCAATGGCCCATGGGGGGGGGCAGTAAGGAGGCTCCCATCCCCTCTCCATGCCCACGAACCATTTGGCAAGAAAGGGCAGAGGCCAGCCCCTTCTCCCAGGAACAAGTCTCAAGTGGGAAATGCCCCCTGGGCTGCGGGGAGGAAGGGGAAGGCAGGATGGGCTGGGGGGGGGGGCAGGCTTCTGGAGACGGGGTGGAGTCGTGGGAAGTAATAAGCGCTGGGCCTCCCCCTCAGGACCGTGGCAATACTGAGGTCCAGGCTCTCCTTCATGCCTCTCCTCACCCTGCCGCCTGGCGCGGCGGGGACAAGGCTGGTGAGAGGGAAATGGGTTAGAGCAGCAGCAAAGAGAGTTCTAGTCAGCTGGAAACCTCTCCCATTTACCTGCCACTCAGAGGTATGGAGGAGGAAGGCAGGATGCTCTAGAGGAACTGGGGGAGAGAGTTGGGGGGGTCAGTGAAGAGGCCTGTGGGGGAGTCCCTGCCTTTGGTCAGTTCCAAGAAGGCAGGACGATGTGCCTCAGCACCTTGTTGGGGGCAGAGAGGATCCAGGAGTGCCCCGAGAGTCGACTGTGAAGGCAATGAGGGTGAAGGGGCGAGGGGCAGGATGCCAGGGAGCTCACAGAAGCAGTTTGCCATTTCTGTGGATTTTCAGGATCCGGCCGAGTCTCTGCTTCGCTGTGGCCAGGCCTTTTTTGGGACGCTTTCCTGTGGGGCAACCAAGAGGTAAGCACACACCATGGCAAGGGCTCCGGCAGCAGCTCCAGTACCGACGGTCCTCAGACCCCTCCCCTCCTGAACCTCTGCCCCGTGTCCCCATCCTTACACCTAACTCCAGGCCCATCCTGGGCAAGAAGTGCTCCTCAGTGCTCCCGGCCCATCCCACATGCCTCCGCTCTTCCTCCCGGGACCTTCTGCCACAGGCTCCCTGCTTAGTCTGGCTCCTTTTCTCCACTGTTTTTAGTCCCGTTTTCCTTCCTCTCTTCTTCGGGGAGAGGACTGTGATTCCCAGTCCCCTTACCTTGCCCACCAGTACAGACAAGTACCTGGTTAGTGATTATAGCTCAAGGTCCCTAATGATGCTACCCCCAGAGCCTTGTTTCATTCAAAACCCCCATCTTCATCAGCCAATGCCTCACCTCCTCAGCTATGTGCTCTAGAGGCTGGGCTTGGAGGGCCAAAATGAGGGAAAGGAAGGTTCGAGTCCCTGACCCTTGCCTCCTCCGCTCTCCCCACATCAAATCACCTCCCACATCCCATGTGACCGCCTCCATATTTAACCTATGTCCCTCACCCTCTTCATTCCCTCTGCCCGAGCCTTCCCACCCCCACCTCTCCTCACTGCAGCTTATAGAATGTGTGTGCCTCCTTCTCAGACTTCCCCCCTTCAGCCCGTCCTCCACTCCGGCCACCAGAAGCTCTTTGTAGACCCACATCTGAGCCTGTCCCAGCTTAACACCAGTCGATGTCACTTCATGGCCTGTGACATCAAGGCCAAGAACCCTAGGTCAGCTGCCAGTGTCCCTTCCTGTCCCGCCATCTACCAGAGCGCACAGTGTTTGGAGCTGATGGCCCTACAGTCCTCAAGCCTATAACCGTATGGCAGTTGTACCTTGTCCTGCTTGACTGCTCTGAGAGCTGGCTGAAGGGCGCCGCTGGGTCAAGAAGACGCCAGGGGCCATGGGCGTGGTGCTGCGGTTCGCCTGGGCCATGCCGAAGGCATTGGGGCGAGCAGTATACTCGTGGTCAGCAAGGCTTCCTGAGAGGGCCTCTTGTTTAGGCTCAGGAGGAGGTACGGGCGAGGAGGAGGAGGTGAGAAGCGGGGGTGCAGCAGGCAAAACCGGGGCTGGGGCTGGTGCTGGCGCTGGCGCCGGCGCCGCCACGGTGACATTGGACTCTTGCGGGCGAGGCTGTTCTACCTCCTTCGGCAAAGGCTTCTTCTTGATACATTTCTTCTTCTGGGCCTTCTGCAGCTCCTGGAACACAAGCCAAGTGGGAGAGGAGAGTTCAGGAGTGAGAAAAAAGAGAGAATCTCCCAGAAAGGAAACTGGACAGTGGTCAGCGTGGTTCTGCGCCCCACCCCCAACCCACATCTAAGCCTGGATATATGTACACGCAGACCGGTCTTCCGGTACCTGAGGCCATCTCTCCGGCACCATCTACCCTTAAGTCATCACTGCCTCTAATCAGTACAGTGGCAACAGAAAGGCAAATGAGCTCTGAGACTTGGGGTTTTGGTACTAGCATTGCCAATTATGAGGTGGATCGGGAAACTAATAATAGCCAAATTTATGCCAGCAGCAGAGACTCTTTATGTACTTTATCCCATTTACTCCACAGGGCAGCCCTGAGAAGGAAAATCCCTATTTACAGATGAGAAAACTGAGGTGCAGGCAGTATCTTGAGCCTAAAGCCTTATAGCTAAAAAGATGTGGTGTATTTGAACACCCACCCTGCATACTTCTCAAAATGGGACGTCTGAAAGTAAAAGGGTAGTGGTAGGTTAGAATAAGATAAACTTGGGTTCAAATCGAGATTTGTGCTTCCTAAGTTGGATGACTTTGTTCAAGTTACTAACCTCTCTGAATCTCAATTGCCTCATCTGTAAAATGGGCAAGACAACATGTTTTTCAGGCTTGTCGGAAAGATTAAATCAAATAATAACAGAAACAACATAGTACATCATAGGTACTCAGGAAGTGAACTATTTCTCTATCTTCTTCCCTTAAACTGGTGTCTCTTCCTCTTGCTGGTCTTTTTCTTTGAACAGAGGACTTGACAAGCCTCTAGTTCACCAATCTTAAAGCCTCGATCTGGAAGGGAGGGATGAATAAAGAGTTGTGTCACTTCTCCCAATATCCTGGACCTCATCCACCTATGGCTCTATTCATCTACTATCCGCTGCATAGTGGGTACCTGTGGAGCAGGCATCTGGAGCCCTGAGAACCTGGAAAGGTGATGCTGAGAGCATGTGAATGACTTCACCTTCTGAAATGCTACACAGCCACAAAGACCACCTCAGTGATTACATTTCTCTGCCTTCTCCTGGCAACACGGGCCTACTCATGTGGCTACCATAGGAATTTCTGAGAGATAAGAATAATAATATTAGTAATACATGCCAGGCACTATTCTCCAATTTAACTCATTTAATACTCATAAAAAGTATTAGGAGACTTATAATCCCATTTTTAGTAGAAGAAACTATGGCACCAAGAGGTGGTCATTTTCCCAAGGTTAGGGGACCTCTCTTTTCTCAGCCACAATGCTATTCCACCCACACTAGAACTGTATTTCTGCCTCTATTTTTTCTCTACTGAATCCAGAAGTTATCTATTCACGCCTAGATCATGCAGCCAATTTTTCCTATTTCTATTGCCTATTTACTTCTCATATAATTAATCCGGATCCCCCACAGAAGACTACACTGGCCTACGACAAGGCCACTTTCACTGTGATAATTCTTTTGCCCAAAAAGCCTAGCAGGTCTACATCCAAGTTCAAATTCCCTGGCCTGACAGTCACTGTCTTCCACAGTCTGACCACTTATACTCACCTAACCCATAATGATAACAATGAAAAAATAACATGTCTACAGTAATTATACTCTGTGGCAAGTGCCATTCTCAGAGTGTTTGCATATATTACCTCATCTAATCCTCAAAGTCTACAAGAAAGCTGATGCACAGATAATTAAGTATCATAATTTGCTCAGCAATAGAGGATTCAAACTTAAGCAGGCTGATCCAGATCCCTTTTATTTCTTTTTCTTAATCCTCATCCGAGAATATTTTTTCCATTGATTTTTAGAGAGCGGAAAGGAGGGTGAAAACATCGATGTGAGAGATACACATTGATTGCTTGCCTCCTGCATATGGCCCTGGGGGATCCAGCCTGCAACTGAGGTACGTGTCCTTTACCAGAATCGAACCCAAGACTCTTCAATCCATGGGCCAAAGCAGCTAGGGCCGGAATCCATTTTTTAACTTCCATTTATCTCACCTCATTCCTCATCATGAATCCTCCAATCCAAGAAAGATCTGCTCACTCATTCATTCACTCACTCATCACTGACTAAACACATATTTAACACAGTGGGGATACCAAGTTAAGTTAGATGTATCCCCACCCTTGAGGCCCTTACAGTTTAATAAGCCACAGGAAATTACACTTACGGTTATAAGTGCCCTGGGAGAATGCTATGAAAGCACAGAGGATATTTAAATATATTGGTGGTAGGTGGTGTGAAGGGGAATTAGGTAAAGTACCTCAGAAGATGCTATGACTCCCAGTGGGCAGAGGGAATAGCTTGTGCAAAGGCACAGAGGCACCTGATACACTGAGAGAACTATGAGTACCGCAGTGCAACAGTGTGGCTGGTATAAAGGGCCTGCATGAGAAATAAGCTCCTTAGAAGGTACTAAGAGTAGTTTTCACACTTTTAATTAACTTGTCCGGTTATTTAAAGCAGAATTCCTTTTCTTTTCAATGACATTTTACATGGCACGAGGATATACATAACAGAGAAAAGTTCTGCGTGGTCTCCTGGCTCCCAACAATAACCACCAAAACACTTGCAAGCAACTCGTCACCCATCATATTAAAAACAGTTCTATTCAGCCGAAACCGGTTTGGCTCAATGGATAGAGCGTCGGCTTGGGGACTGAGAGGTCCCGGGTTCGATTCCGGTCAAGGGCATGTACCTTGGTTGCGAGCATATCCCCGGTAGGATGATATTTCTAGCTCTCTATCTCTCTCCCTTCCTCTCTGTACAAAATCAATAAAATAAAAATATATTTTTTAAAAAAACAGTTCTATTCAACTTTATTTAAATAGGGTATAATTACTTAAATAAATAAATACTTAACAATTTCATTTTACGTAAATAGCAACTTAAATAACAATTTCCTTTTTATGTAAATGGAAGTTAGAGGATATGAGTTTGCATCTTGTCTCCTCCATCTACTGGCTGTATTATCCTGGACTAGTCACTTAAAGACAGTCTCATTTTCTTCACCTGTAAAATGATGAAAATATAACCTATTGAAAAGGGGTACTGGGAAGATTACATGAGACATTGTTCAAATGCAGCACCTAACATAAAACAGATGCTCAGTAATAAATGTCCTAAGCTACAGGAAGTGGCACGAGGCACTAGGGGGGTGTTGATAAGGAGATAAACATAGGATTCCCCTCTAACTGCTCCCATGGTTGCTGAGCACATTATACACATTAAACAACTTTGTAAACTTTAACAGGCTTAAAGGTTAGCTTGACTGTAGTGGAGTGACCCTTTAAAACAAAAATTAGTGGGTGATGCTTTCTTGGGAAGTAAGCGGACAAGATTAAGATCCAATTTTGGGGCCTGGCCAGCATGGCTCGGTAGTTGAGCACTCACCTATGAGCTAGAAATTCATGCTCAAGTTGGGGGCTCAATCCCCAGTGTGGGGCAGGCAGGAAGCAGCCAATCAATGATTCTCTCATCATTGATGTTTCTCTCCCTCTCCCTTCCTCTCTAAAATCAATTTAAAAAATGTATTTAAAAAAAAATTTAAGATCCAATTTTGGTATAGAGGACAAGAAAAACCTCTCCCTGCAAAAAGCAAATCCCAGTGCTGGTAAATGGCTAAGAACTTGAGCATACTCAATCGAGTCACCCCCTTGGGACTTCACCTGAAGGCAAATGTTCTTACTCAAGGACAGAACTGTCCTTCCCATCTGAGAGGCTTTTGCACACCCAGAAAAGCAAGGGGTGTTCTCTGGTTCCCCATTTTCCTTCATGTCAACCGTGTAACCTGCGGAATGAGCTTCTCATTGAGTTGGGATGGGAAGGGTAGAGATCAAAGAATGCCCAGTCCCCAGTGAGACAACAGTGGGAGCCTAGGTCTGAGCTGTGAGGCTCTAAGTGAAACTAGGATCATAGCAGGGCCATTGCTTGAGTGTGAGCACCTACCTGCTGGGCCAGCTTTGCAGCTGCTGCAGCCAAACCTGTCTCAATGGAAGCCACCCGGGTCCCCTCCCGCACAGGACGATCCTGCTTTGGCAGAGTTGGGGTCACACGGGCTGCAGAGGAAAGAGGATGAAGACATTTATCTGAATGCTAACCATATCCCCTACCTCCAAGCTCTCCAAAGATGATCACACTAGGCTTTGTACTTCTGGCTTTAACAAAGCCAGATTTTGTTTCCTGTCGTGTAAGAAAATAGCTCCCAGATGCCTAAAGTACACAGAGCACATACTTATTAAAGGATAAAAGTTAATCTCCTTAAATTGGCAGTTAAGGTTGTACATCTTCTGCTCCAGGCCTACCTACCGCAACCACCTTATTTCTGCACCCACGTTCTCAGATTCTCCAGACAAAATGGCTTCCTCATTACACCTTCAGAATATGCACAGCTCATCTTCTCTCCCTGTGCCTTTCTCCTTATCATCCACACTGCCTGGAGTACCTTCTTCCCTTCTGTCCACTTCTTCCAAACCTTCTGTACAAACCTCTAGGACCTTTCTGGCTCCTCCCCCCTGAACTTACAATGTGCGCACGTTTCTTAATGTATTAATTTCACCATCTTGTCTTGTTTCCTAATGTTGATGTGTGTTCTTTTGTCCACTCAGCCAAGCTATGAGCTATTGAAGATCAGCTTCTTGTATAACCCTTTCATAATGAATTTAACATCTTGAATCAAAAAATAGTTCCTCAGCTCACATTTTACATAGGAAGTGTATGTCAGTATAACCAAACAGCATCCGATGACAAGGAAAGCTCTTTACAGAAGAATGTCAGCTGATAAATGCAGGATGAATGAGAGAATTAGGAAATCACAGGTTTGCAAGCCCTAATAAAACAACTGATTTGAGGGCATTGGACATTCACACAGTACCAGAGTATTACCTCACATGTTATTTGCTAGTCTCAAGAAAGAAAACAAAACACACACAAAACTTTATAAGGGCGAGGTCAGGAAATCACCCTTTACCTTGGTATTAATTAATCTTATAGTCACTAATAGGGAGACAGACAACTTCATGCATCTCCTAATGCAATGCAACAGGAAATTTACAGTATCATCTGAGTAGGGGACATGCAGGAGGCAGTGAATCAATTATTCTCTCATCATTGATGTTTCTATCTCTCTCTCCCCCTCTCCTTTCCTCTCTGAAATCAATAAAAATAGATTTTAAAATAATAATAAAACAAATAAATTACAGAAACAGACTCATAGATACAGATAACGAACTGACGGTTGCCAGGGGGAAGGAGGCTGAGTGAAAAGGATGTGGAACTACAAATCATTAGTCATGAAATAGCTGCAGGGATGTAAAATACAGCACAGGGAATATAGACAATAATACTGTAATAACTCTGTATGGTACTAGGTGGGTACTTGAAATACAAGGGGGGGACACTTTGTAAAAGTTTATGGTTGTCTAACCCCTATGCTGTACACTTGAACCTAATACAAAATAATACTGTTAACTGTCATTGAAAAATAAAATTTAGCCGAAACTGGTTTGGCTCAGTGGCTAGAGCGTCGGTCTGCGGACTGAGGGGTCCCAGGTTCAATTCCAATCAAGGGCATGTACATTGGTTACAGGCACATCCGCAGTGGGGGATGTGCAGGAGGCAGCTGGTCGATCGATGTTTCTAACTCTCTATCCCTCTCCCTTCTTCTCTGTAAAAAAATCAATTATATATATATATATATATATATATATATATATATATATATATATATATGTATTTTTTTTTAAATTAAACAAACACCCATTAAAAAAAAGTGCTAAATTTTAATGAGGGCAGTGAGCTTTGTGGCATTTTAACTTATCCTAGACCCATCCAAGTCTCCTCAGCTCAGAAGTAGCCTGGAAAGATAAAAGCTTACATTTCCAGGAATATTGGGAGCATAAAGGAGCTGGAGCTTTCTTTGAAAGCCCAGTGCTCTGAAGCTTCTCCCCAGGGGGTATTTATCACCAGTATTTAAAGAAAAGTGCTTAATGTCACAGCCCTTAAGAAGATGGATAATAGTTGTGGCAAACAAGACTAACCCAAAGGCTTAAAAAGAAAAGCTGAGCAATGGGCTATCCACTGGGGATTTAAGGAGCTCCCACACATTTTTGGGAATCTAGGAGGCCATAAGCTTTCACAGTGTAAGATCTGGAAAGACGTGAGAAAGCCCTAAGCACTCCCTCTGGCTGATGCTGAGGATCTAAAAAGCAGGAAGTGAAGCCTTAGGAAAGTTGTAAACTGCCTGCCTGGATGTTGAAGGCACACAGAGCCCCTTTATCTAGCACTGGGAGACTTACTGACTCCAGGCATTTAAGGAAATCAATGCCCAATCATTAAATGACCACTAAGCTAAATGAGTAGAGACTTCAGTAGCATATACTGAATAAAAAGAATACATACTTTAATGACTTTTCTGAATTAATGCCATAAACAAACAAATAACAAGTAGCAACAACACAAATCCTGGAAAGTAGAGTGGGGCATATCTGATTTCCTGGGTTGCCACATTATTGAAAAGTTCAGATTTCAACAAAAAATGATAAGACATGCAAAGAATAAAGTGTAGTCATACACAGGAGAACAAGTAACATATAAACACTGTACCTGATTTCCTAAACAAGTTGGATTTACTAGACAAGGACTATATACCAGCTATTCTAAGCATCTTCAAAGACATAATGTAGACCATGTATAAAGAATTAAAAGTATGAGAATTATGTTCCAGCAAACAGAGAATACCAATAGACAGAAATGTAAAGAATGAATCAAACAGACATTTTGAAGTTTTAAAGTAAAATAATTGAAATGAAAATTTCACTAAAGGGTTTCAACATCAGATTTGGGCTGGTAGAAGGAAGAATTAGTAGCTTGAGATTTTTCCATTCTGATCTGCAGCAAGTAAAATGAATGAGGATTATCAACAGAGACAAAAGAATCTGTGGGGTGCAACCAATTTAACAACACATATATATGAGATTGCTAAAAGAGAGTGAAAGGGGAAGAAAGACTATTTGAAGAATTAATCACTAAATTAACAAAATATAAATCAATAAAATATATTTTTAAAAATCAAGTGAATAAAAACTCTGATGAACAGAATAAACTGGTGAATATAATAGAATCAGGGGCATAGAAAGGGAGTGGACTGACAATTCTCAGGGAAAAAGGGGTATGGGGGAGTGCAAGAAGCGACTGGTCAAAAATCATACACCTATGGATAAGGACGGGGGGGGGGGGGGGGGGGCCGTAAGGGCATGGGGTGGGGTGGGAACCAGGTGGAGGGGAGCTATGGGAGGGGGAAAAGAGGAACAATTGTAATAATCTGAACAATAAAGATTTATTTAAAAAATAATGGTTTTTTAATGTAGAATGAGGGGAAATTACCATAAACAAAATTACATATGTATACAAATAATAACTATTTCCTTCTATATAAAAAAGGGCAATTTGAAAAACCTGGAGTTATAACATGAATAAATGGGCACATTTTCAGAAATAAAATTTACAAAAGAAAAAATTCTAATGCGGATACTGTTGTTTGCTTGTGAATTACCAAAGATCAAAAAGATATCATGGTGGAGACTGCTTGTTCTCAACTCAGTATCATTTTTCCTTTCTTGCTTTCTTCTTTTTTTTTAATACTCCGTTTCCCCGAAAATAAGACAGTGTTTTATATTATTTTTTGCTCCCAAAGATGCGCTAGGTCTTATTTTCAGGGGATGTCTTATTTTTCCATGAAGAAGAATATGGTACACATTTATTGTTAAATAAAAATAAAGGAAATTACCTGTATACGGTACGGTAGTACGGTAGTTGTCAACACAAACCAGACAAACTGTGAATCCTACAGTATCAAGAATTTACTCATTTATTCAATGACAATCATGTCATCATCTTCTGGAACATCATCAGAACAATCCAATTCCTGAATTTCCTGGTGAATTTCTTATGACTCCATTTCTTTCAGATTCAGTGGACCAAATCTCTCATGTTTAGCCCGGGGGGGCCTTATTTTCGGGGGATGCCTTATATTTCATTCAGAAGGAAACCTGTAAGTAGGTCTTATTTTCTGAAGATGTCTTATTTTCGGGGAAACACGGTACATATTTATTGATAGGGAGAGAAGGAGCAGGAGAGGGATAGAAACATCAATGATGAGAGAGAATCATTGATCAGCTGCCTCCTACATATCTCCTATTGGGGATTGAGCCCACAAGTCAGGCATATGCCCTGACCAGAAATCAAACCATGACCACCTGGTTCATAGGTCGATGCAAACCACTGAGCAACACCGGCTGGGCCCTTTCTTGCTTTACGACAAAATACATGACTTTGGGGGACAGAAATGTACCTAGCTAAAAACGACATTTCCTGGCCTGTCTGGCAGACAATCTTGGCCATGTGACACAATTTCAACCAAGATTTTATATATATAAAAGACTGCCCAAAACCCCACAACACTGTAACTCAGAGACCTCTGCAGAGGTAAAGCAGCCATCTTGTGACCCTGAGGGGATAAGCACTCACTAAGGATGCCTAATAGGTTACTGTTACTCACAGGCAAATACTATTCCTAACTGATATGCTCAATGCTGTAAAGATTTATAAACAATATCCTCACACATGGCTGGTGAGAGTGTACACTAATACAGCCTTTCTGAAAAGCAATTTGGCAATACATATAAAGAGCTTTTAAAACACTCATATTAACAAATTGTATTGGCAAGGGTGTAAGGAAATAGGCACTCTCAGGCACTGCTTGTGGGTGTATAAACAGTCTCTAAGATGGAATTGTTAAGTGAGAAAGGCACATAACAGTGCATAAAGTATGCTTCCAATTGAGTGGGGGGGAAAAAGAGGGGAAATCTGTGTTTACTCGTATATGCATAAACTACCTCTGAAAGAATAAACATGACCCTGGTAACAGTAGTTGACTCCAGATGAGAAATAACACTGTACACCAATAAACCTTTTTTCTTTGGCCCATCTAGATTCTCATGGAGATCCATCCTAAGTAAATAATCAGAGATACAAACACTTACATAAAAAGATGCTCACCCCAAATGTCATCACTAACTTTGATGTGATGTGGGACTAAAAATGCCCCACATCAAAGGAGAAGTAACGTAAATTAGATATATCAATGAAATAGAATGCTTTGTAACCACCAATATATTATTTAGGAGCGATGGCATAGGGATGTGCTTATGATATGTTAATTTAAAAGGCCAGATATATTTATTGGCTTTAAACCTTTTTTAAATTTTTAAAAAAATATATATTTTATTGATTTTTTACAGAGAGGAAGGGAGAGAGATAGAGAGCTAGAAACGTTGATGAGAGAGGAACATCGACCAGCTGCCTCTTGCACACCCCCCACTGGAGATATGCCCGCTCTACCAAGGTACATGCCCTTGACCAGAATCGAACCTGGGACCCTTCAGTCCGCAGACCGATGCTCTATCCACTGAGCCAAACCGGTTTCGGCTGGCTTTAAACTTTTACACTCAACCTCTAGTCAATGTAGAGTTATAATTCTCAAGACAATGTAAACAAAAAAATGTGAGTCATAGAAGGCTGGAGGAAAAATAGCAGACAGCCCAATCAGTGTAGTTCAGTGGATGAGTGTCTGCCTATGAACCAGGAGGTAATGGTTCGATTCCTGGTCAGGGCATATGCCTAGGTTACAGGCTCAATCCCCGGGGGGGGGGGTGTGCAGGAGGCAGCCGATCAATGATTCTTATCATTGATGTTTCTATCTCTTTCTCCCTTGTCCTTCGTCTCTGAAATCAATAAAGAAATATATTTTTTAAAAGCAACTGTGAAAAAAAAAAGCAGCCATAATGAAAAAATTATGTTATAAACTCTATAATACCGAGTTTTGGAAGTAACCACAACAAAAATGAAAACTATGAGGCCCTCACAGGCAGGGGATTGTAGGCGGGAAAAACAGAGGAAGACGACAACTGCATTTCATCCTAAACTCCTCTATTATTTGATTTGCTACCAGATACACACATTATTTTGAATAAAGGGCAAGCTGAAACCGGTTTGGCTCAGTGGATAGAGCATTGGCCTGCAGACTGAAAGGTCCCGGGTTTGATTCTGGTCAAGGGCATGTACCTTGGTTGCGGGCACATCCCCAGTAGGGGTATGCAAGAGGCAGCTGATCGATGTTTCTCTCTCATCGATATTTCTAACTTTCTGCCCTCTCTGTAAAAAAATCAATAAAATATATTAAAAAATGAATAAAGTGCAAAATAATTTTAAAGTAGGATATATGATTGTATCATGTGATTTCAATCATAAAAAGAGAAAAAAAGACTAGAAGGAAATATATCAACACATTAACAGTGGTTGCTTGTGGGTGCCAGAATCATGGGTGGTTTCTTTTTATACTTCCCTCTATGTTCTGTAGTTTCCAAATTTTCTAATATGCTCATAAGTCAGAAACGATAGGAGAAAATAAAATCAGAAAACAGGCCTAAGGAAAGAAAAAAAAAAATACTTGCTGATTGACGCATTAAGAGAACACTTTCCAGGGCTGCCTTGCAAACCCCAGACTCAAATAAGGCTGGGTGAGGAGAGCATGCTCTTTACTTCCTGGGGAAACCTAGGTACTGAGATGCCAGCACCCTCTGTGATGGTCTGCTGTAGTAATGACCTCAATTTGCTCACATCTTCTTGTATGCATGAGAATTTTGCAGCTCCCTTTCAGGAGGTGGAATCTACTTTTGGAATCAAGGCTTGGCCATGTAACTTGCTTTGATCAATGGAACAATAGAAAACATGACACAAGCCGAGACTTGAAGAATCTGCACATTGGGGCTTGTCCTCTCTTGATGCTGGATACCCTTGTGCTTGCTACTTTGAGAAAAAACTTGTCGGTGAAAGACCACACAAAAAAGAGGCCCCAGCCCAACCCAAGTTAGATCCCAGACACATGAGGCAGACCTCTACAGATCATCCAGCCCCAGTCAAGCTGGTCCAGAACAGGAGATCAATCGAGAGAACCACATAAAGATTTTTTTTTGTTATCTGGAGAATAATGAGAAATGATCAACCACTGTTGTCCTAAGCCACTAAGTTTTGGGTAGCTGGATAAGCAGCAAAAGCTAACTGACATATCCTCCAATGTGAAAACCGCCTGGCCAATAAGATGAATGAAATACTTCTATTATCCTCTAAATTCCATGTCCAACTTAATGATCATTTTCTTCTTTTCTCAAAGATGGCCTCAGCGAGCACAGGTGAAAGTCTAAGGCATCTTGCGCCTTGCAGAGCTCAGTAGTCAGCATAATTTCCCTCCTTTGACATGAGTATTACCAAAGGGATATGATGATGGTAGCAGAATACTCTCTCAGAAGCCTTAGACTGCTTGCTAAAATCCGTTCAAGGTCTTCTTCATTTCATTTTAAGCCATATAATATCAGAAGCAAAGTGCTCCATTACCTCTGGCTTTGCTGAACTGAGTGCACAAGCTGTGTCTCATTGATCATTTTTACTCCAGCACCTAATACCTGGCACACAATAGGCACAGTTTGCTAAATAAACAAATGAGTGACTGAATCAGGTCTTCATATAATTAATATCCCACCTACCTCCAGCCTACTGGTCCCCTAACCAACCCCACACCGTTTAAGGACAGAATACCTTTAGGACTCCAGGGAGCATCATCTGAATTCTTCTTTTTCTTGGGTCGAGATTTCAAAGCAGGGTCGTCGTCATCAGATTCCAGGGAAGGGTAAACTATAGTGAGAGGGAAAAGCAAGGTAAACTGAGATCTCATCCAGAAGGGTGAAAACAGAAGGATACCTACAACTCAGCTCCTACCACTCCCCACAAAACAGACCCTTTATTTAATCCATATTCAACTACAGGAGTCCCTGACTGAGCCACTTCCTTTTCCTGCCTTCCTGCCTTCCTGCCTTTGCTCCCCTGCTGCCAATGTCCTTCTCCAGCATCATCTAATTCTGACTCACTCACCCAATCTCCACTTAGTGAGTAATTTCATGAGTTACTTCACTGACCCTGCAAAATTCAGCTCTAGATTCACTCCCTAAAACTCTGCCTCTTTCTCATAATCTGATTCAGGTGCCTCAACACTTCATAGAATCCTGTGCATACCCTTACTGTAGTTATTTCTTTTTTTAAAAAAATTTTTTTATTGATTTTGTACAGAGAGAAAGGGAGAAAGATACAGAGTTAGAAACATCGATGAGAGAGAGTCATCGATCAGCTGCCTCTTGCACACCCCCTACTGGGGATATGCCTGCAACCAAGGTACATGCCCTTGACGGGAATCGAACCCGGGACCCTTCAGTCCCCAAACCGATGCTCTATCCATTGAGCCAAACCGGTTTCGGCATGTAGTTATTTCTTATATGGAGCTTAAGAGGTAATTAGTAAATCTGTCACCCCCAATTTACCAGGAAGACAGGGAAATGTACTGTTTGGTTTCAAACAAAGGGAGCCTAACACAATGTAGAGGAGGTGCTCAGAAAGTGTTTTTTGAATTAATGAAAAAAGAATGCTACACATATTATTCACAAAAAGGGAACAAAAAGCCTACTTGGCTGAATTAGGAACAGGATTACTGGAACTGAATGTTCTGGATATCAAAACACACATATACAAGTATCTCATGCTATACAAATACACACGAGCATCCAGTTTTCTCTCTCTCTCCTTGGAATCCTCAGGTAACCCCTAGAGAATTTAAGGGGAAAGTGGTCTAGAAAGGTCCTACTGATGAGGTCAAACTCTGCTAAACCTAAAAGAGAAGCAAAGAGAAGTTGAAAACTTTCTCCTAATGATCAGCTTCAAATTTCTCTAGAATTTTACTTCATCAGAGAAATACAGTCTCCCACCTCTTTCTAGAACATAGAGTTGGCCAATCTATAATAATAAAGTGTAATATGCTAATTAGACCAGACAGCAGAACGACCTTCCGGATGTCAAGGCAAGCCGCTGTGGCTGAAAGGGCCAAGCCCCTTGCATGAATTTCATGCATCGGGCCTCTAGTAGACATACGAAAAGATGCTCAAAGTCACTAATCACCAGAGATGCAAATTTAAACAACAATGAGGTTATCACCTCACAGCTATCAGAATAGCTATCATCAATTAGTCAACAAACAAGAGCTGGAGAGGATATGGAGAAAAAGGAGCCCTAGTGCACCACTGGAGGGAATGCAGACTGGTGCAGGCACTATAGAAAACAATATGGAGCTTTCTCAAAAAATTAAAAATGGTCCTGGCAGGTTTGGCTCAGTGGATAGAGCGTCAGCCTGTGAACTGAAGGGTTCTGGGTTCGATTCTGGTCAAGGGCATGTACCTTGGTGTCAGGCTCAATACCTGGCCCTGGTCAGGCTCATATGAGAGGCAACCAATCATGTGTGTGTCTCTCTCACACTGATGTTTTTCTCTCTGTCTCTTCCCCTCCCTTCCACTATATCTAAAAATCAATGGAAAATATATCCTCGGGTAAGGATTTAAAAAAAAAAAAGAAAAAAAGAAGGCACTCTTATTCTTAGGGACAGCATGAATGGACCTGGAAATTATTATGCTAAGTGAAATAAGCCAGTCAGAGAAAGACAAATACCATATGATCTTACTTAGATGTGGAATCTAATGAACAAAATAGGTCCTGAGGCATGGATGCATGGAAGAGACTGCCAGATCTCAGAGGGAAGGGAAGAAGGGGGGCAGGAAGAGATGAACCAAATAACTTATATGCACAGGCCATGGACACAGATAATAGTGTGGTGAAGGCCTGGGGTGGGGTGGGAGCCAGGTGGAGGGAGGCAAAGGGGGGGAATGGGAGACATCTGTAATACTCTCAACAACAAAAAAAGACTTAAAAATGCTCTCAGGAAAAAAATACTCTCCGCAAAATAAGAATAGAAGTGAACTTTTTTTTTTTTTAATATTAATTGATTTTGTACAGTGAGGAAGGGAGAGAGATAGAGAGTTAGAAACATCAATGAGAGAGAGTCATTGATCAGCTGCCTCTTGCACACCCCCTACTGGGGGTATGCCCGCAACCAAGGTACATGCCCTTGACCGGAATCGAACCCGGGACCTTTCAGTCCCCAAGCCGACGCTCTATCCATTGAGCCAAACCGGTTTCGGCAGAAGTGAACTTTCTTAACCTCAGAAGCTATAGCTAACATCATAATAGTGCAAAGACTGAATGCTTTCCTCTTCGATTGGAAACGAGGCAAGGGTGTTCACTTTCTTACCACGCTGTGTTTGAAATGCTAGCTAGAACAAAAAGGCAAAAAGAAAAAATTACATACAGATGGGAAAGAAAGGAATAAAATTGTCCCTACTTGAGCAGAGGCTAGGTGGAAGGGACAAAAGGGGGGAGGAGAGATGAGGGAGAACTGTAATAGTTCATAAATTTTCAGAATGTGATGTTTTTTAGGAAACAGAGAGGGATAGTGGTTGCATACATCCCATTGAGCAGAAAAGTTTCTGATGAAAGAGGTCAGTCTCCATAATTAATCCACAAGTACTACAAAATCCTAACAAAAAATCCTAATAGAATTTTTCATAAAATTTGACAAGCTGATTCTGAAATCCATCTGGGGGGGGGGGGGGGGGAAGCTCAATAATGGCCTAGAAATTCTGGAAAAATAAGAACAAGTAGGTTGGCATCTCCTTGTTAAATTGCCTTCCTAGTGCTGCTGGGCAAAGCAGGAGCAGGGGGGGTATGGGAAAGCAGAGGCTGACTGAGCTGCTTGTTCTGAGGGGACTAGTAAGAGCAGCTCTGGATGTCTTGGCTGGAGGTGGATGTAACTGTCTGCTGAAAGTGGGATGAACTTGGCATGCCCCCAAGACCAATCACAGCTCAGAACAGAGATGATGGGCTTGATGAGCTTCTGTGGTCTCAGGTCCGACGCAAGTTCTGCAGAAGGAATTTGCCTTACAAAACACAAGACCTAAAGTAACTAATCTATGTGTTATTACCACAGTAACAAACAAAATGATTTTATGGAACAGAATAATAATAATATCTAATACTTACACAGCACTTACCACAAGCTAGACAATGTTCTAAGTGCTTTATGTAAATTCATTTTAACCCCACAACATCCTATATGAGGTAGGTACAGAGAGGCTAATTAGCTTGCCGAAGGTCACATAGCTATTAAGGGACAGAACTTGGAATAAAGGGTAGAAAAATATTTAGATTTACATGGGAATTCAGTTTATGACAAAAGTGGAACTTCAAATCAGGGGGATAATGATGAACTAGTCAATAAATGGTGTTGGGGAAAATGACTACCCATATGGGGGTGGGGGGGGAATAAGTTACATTCCTACCTCCCACAATTCACAAAACTTGATTCTAGAAGAAAAGCTAACATTTTAACTTCTATATAAGTTTTAGGTGAAAATAGAAGAAAAATCTTACACAAGCCATAATATACCAAAAAAATGGTAAAGATGACTGTATAAAAACTGAAATCTTCTATATGCTAAAAGATACCATAAATAAATTAAACACAAGCAACAGACAAAAAGGAAATATTTTTCAACACTTCAAGAATATATTAAAAACACTCCAACAAATGTAGAATAAAGAACTCACAAATCAATAAGAAAAACAAACATCCTAATAGAAAAATGGATAAATGACTGAATAGATAATTCACAGAAAGGTAATAAAGAAGAGCCAATAAACATAAAACAAACTGAGACACCATTTTTTGCCCTCTTGGAAAATAAAAAGGCTAATAACATCCACTACTGGTAAGGCTGGGAGAGACAGGTTTTGCTCAGACACTACTCACATACTGGCCATTTGAGAGGGGGATTTGGCACTCTTAACATTTATTTTGTACATATCCTTCAACCCATCATGTCTAGCCACCCATGAGAAATGTTAGCTGGCATGTGTACTCTAAAGGTTATTTATACAAATTTTCATTGAAGCATTGTTAGAAATAGGGAGATATTAGAAACAACCTGAATGTTAATCAGCAGGAAATGGCTAAACAAATTATGGTACAGCTATGCTATAAGACTACTATGCAAGAGGTATATCTCAATATTATTGATGATGTAGATCTCTAGGAACTGATAACTGAAAGATAGCCAAGCAAGCTTTAGAACCATAGACACTAAACAGCACTACACCTTTATCTATTTATAGCTACATGCAGGTATAAAAGAAAATGAAAGGTGTAAATCAAACTGATAACAAAGGACACCTGCCACAGATAACCTGAGGCGGATGTTAGTCAAAAGTAACTTTTACTTTCTGTCTTGTTCTAATTTGGGTCAATAGCACTAATTTTAAAAAAAAATAGTATTAAAACAAAAGCCTACATTAATGTCAGCTATACTATACAAAAAAATGCTTTATACACTGAAGTACTCAATAAATCTTAGCTTACAAAAATAAGTCATCTCATGAGTCATGTAAAAAGCTCACTAAAAGGTTATTATATATACTTTTGCTAGGGATGAACAGAATGACATAGAAGACACAAAAAAAACAGGTGATGGGAGTGAAATAGGCAAGAGGGAAAAAAGTCACCAGCAGGGAAGGTTGGACTAAAAGTGAATGACAGCTAATTATAACAGCTATCAATTTCTGAGGATCACCCATGAGCAAGACAGTATGTCAGGTGTTCTGTACAAGCATCATCTCTAATTCTGAAATCAACCTGTGCGATAGCCCCGTTTTACAGATTACAGAAATATGGCTCGACTGTCCTGGACTGAGATTGGGATTGAGCCTGGGGTGGGGGAACCCTTTTGTCCTATACTCAAGAGCTCAGCTTACTATACTCTGCATCCTTGAAGCATGCTCCCAAGCTGTCCTGTTCATCCAGACTGGCGTTCTCCTCCTCCTCCTCGCTCTCGGTTCTCCAGTACGCTGGCCGCTTGATGGGCCGCTTCCCTGGGGTGCGCTGGGAAGCAGGACTGCTCGACACTGTACCCAACCCACTGCTGGAGCTCGTGCTGCTTCGGTCCTGCCCCCCGGTCCACCAGGCCTGCAGGCTGGAGGTAGCTGGGGAGGACGACGAGGACTGCAGGTTGGCCATGCACAGCATGCCCTGGATGGCCTCCTGGGTGCTAGGAGAGGCAGGGGCTTCGCTGCAAGGGACAGAGAGGAAATGTTTAGGCAGGGTATATTTAGTTGGTAAGGGAAACTAGTCATCAGAATAGTCGGGGAGGAGGGCCACAGCTGAGGGGTCAGGGTGAGAGGAGGAAGAGAATCATCCCAGGTGAAAAACCAGAAATCAATAAAGATTCCAGACGGTATCACAGACTGTTTTCACAAAAAGGCCAGTCCTGCTTGCTTCGAGTCTCTCCACAGACAGCACATGGCAAAAAGAGGGGCGCATCTCCCTCCATGTCCATCCACGCTGCATTCTTTCCTTTTTTGTTTTTTAAAAGATCCAGTTCTCCTTCCTTGTCTCTTCCAGCCCCTCTTCCAACTTCCCAAGACTGATTCCCCTTGATGTCTATATAGTGTGTCTCTGTCTCTCTCTCTCTGTGTCTGTCTGTCTCTCTCTCTCTCTCTCTCTCTCTCTCTCTCTCTCTCTCTCTCTCACCTTACGTTTCTTAGGGCAGATTTCATGTCTACTTTAGTCTTTCAGTACAAATGCCCCGGCTAATTCTTTGTTCTTTATCCCTTTAAATAACTGCCTGATAAATGTTTGTTGACTGGTGGCCTCAGCCCTTTGAGTGGGAGGTGAGGGTATGCTGTTTGCCTTGGAAAGGGGGGATCAAAGCCAGTACTCACGTGAGGGCAGCATAGTCAGGTCCCCCCACCTGCCTGCTGGCCTTGAGCAGATCAAGAATTCCACCAGCTCCACTCCCATTCCCAAGCTTTCCTTCGACCCCTTCTACCATGTCCTCATCTGTTGTATAGTCCTCCTGTTGGGAAAAAAGGATATTGCCTTAACTGCCTGGGGTTGGTCAGATAAGTGCCCAATGATAGTCTCACTCCTGAAACTAATATCTTCCAAGTATAAACAGAATATTCATTCTTTCATCTTCATTCCCACAGCATATTTGTGAGGTAGGTAGTATAATTCCCATTTTACAGATAGTGAAACGAAGACTCAGTTAAGTTAAATAGTTTGTGCAAGATCACGATCAGATATTCCAAATCAGATATTCTTTCTGCTACCTCACACTGCTTTTATTTTGCTCTATATTAAAGACTTTAAAATATTTTAACTAAATTACCATCTTCCATTTATATGCTCAGCAGCACTTAGTACACAGTCTTTCACCTAACAAATATCGTAGTCATTGAATACACAGGATATCTTCCTCCTCCCAAGTAGAATGACAATAGCTGCCTTCTGTCTCTATAACCAGAATGAGAAGAAGACTAAGCACAGGGCAGGTTCCTACCTCAATATCAAACTCAACTTCTCCTGGTTCTCGAACTCGGTTGGGGTCAGAGCAAGGCTTCGCACGGGGCAGCTTTCGGGGAAATTCTAGAAAACAAAGGTATGCACTTATTGCAAAGCCAAACACCCAGGGGAAAGTGAGACTATAGTATTCCTAAAAGTAATGAGCACAAACGACTGATTTAGACAGGTTAGGAATTAGCTTACAAAGAAATCTCTAGAGCAAAGCCTACACCGAGGTCTACAGAGCTGGTAAATCAGAACGTCAACAAGGTCAGGACTAACGTCTGGAGTCTATCAAGGACACAAAAAATTCATAATAGCCCAAGAAGCAGGAAAGAGAAAGAACAGGTACACACTTGGTCTTATTATCAGAGTCGTCTTATCCTTTCCCAATCTCTCATCAATCTGCAGTTCATCATCCGAATCCAACTCAAATCCATCACCCATCATGTGTTCTGCCATTAGCCTAGCTTTGTCTGCCTTCCTTGCGATCTTGGCTCGCCGAGACTTGGATAAGCTCTTTATCCTCTTGGTACTAGAGGAAAACAGAACATAAAATCAGTCACACTCAATATTGTTATGGTGGCAATTCTCTCCAAATTGATCTATAGATTCAATGCAATTCCTAACAAAATACAGCTAGATTTTAAAAAAGAAATTAATAAACTAATACTAAAATGTATACAAGCATACAAAGGTCTCAACTGGTCAAAACAATTTGGAAAAAGGACAAAGTTGGAGGACTTATACTACTCAATTTCAAAATTTACTGTAAAACTACAGTAATCCAAGTACTGTGATACTGACATAAGGACAGACATATGTCATTGGAACTGTACTGCAAGTCTAGAATTAAACTCTTAAGTTTATGATCAATTGATTTCTGATAAAGGTCCCAAGGCAATTCAGTTGGGAATGGATGGTCTTTTCAACAAAAGTGCTGAACTAACTGGCTATCATATGCAAAGAAATGTGGATTCATACTTCACATCATACTCAAAAATTAACTCAAAGTGGATCATAGATCTAAATGTAAAATCTAAAACCATAAAACTTCTACAAGAAAACAGAAAATATCTTTGTGACCTGGGATTAGGTAGAATTCAAAATGTTTGCGCTTCAAAAGACATTATTAAAAAAAATGAAGAGACAAGCCACAGACTGGGAAGAAATATTTGCACATCACTTATCTGGTAAAGTATTTGTATCCAGAATATTTAAATAACTCTTAGAACTCTATAATAAGACACATAAACCAATTAAAATGAGCAAAAGATATGAATAGACCTTAGTCATTGAATGCACAGGATATCTTTTTTTCTAAAGATGACATAAAAATGGCCAATAATCACACAAAAAGATGCTCAACATTCAGCCAGGCCCGGAGCAGCAGCAGCCAGGCTGGGAGCTGCCAGGCCCAGAATGGCCGGGCCCGGAGCAGCAGGGCCCGGAGCAGCCGGGTTGGGAGCAGCCAGGCCCGGAGCGGCAGCGGCCAGACCCAGAGCAGCTGATTGTGGAGCAGATCAGAGCAACAGAGGCCAGGCCCAGAGCAGCCAGGCCTGGAACAGCTCGCTCCTCTCCTGCCCATGCCCCAGGGCTGCCTCTCAGACATGGCTGGAAACTTTTGGGGGAACCTGACAGTCTGCTGAATCAAGCAATGAAAGCTTAGATCTGGATGTGTTGAGTTATAGCGCTGGGGTGTTGATCTGTGAGCGCCTTGTGTGGGGTCTGGATGAGGTTGGTTGATCTATTTGGAAGTGTCTTTTGTGTGAAGTGTATCCTTGGGCATGTGGAGGTATTATTGATTTGAGAAAATACTAAGTAATTGATTTATTACCTGAAAAATTTAAAGTTCTGAAAGTTTAAGGTCTCTCGCCAAAAAGAGGTTTTAAAGCTAACACCTTAATTTCAATGGAGAAAGGGGAGGACAAGCCTTTCCCATCCAGAACAGGTAATCCAATTCCAGCAAGCAGCTATCTTTAAACAATGTGTTCATTTACATTTGAATGGCTACGCCTTTTGATAGCCTAAGGGCAAGTTTACATGTAAACAAGTTTGCTTCTCAGTTCCCAGGGAAGAAAAAAACAAGGTTTAAAATTATTATTTTAAAATTTATTCTTAAAAATATAAAAGTTTAATTAAAAAAAAAAACAAGGAAATTAAAAAACCCGATGAACAATATTAACTGTTGATTATAATAGAATCAGAGATACGGGAGGGGAGTGGACTGACAATTCTGGGGGATGGGGAAAGGGAGTGGTGGATATGGGAAGAGGCTGAACATAAACTATGCACCTATGGATGAGGACAATGGGGGGTGGAGAAGGGGCAGAGAGTGGAGTGGGAACCTGCTGGAGGGGGGAAGGAATGAGGAACCCTTGTAATAATATGAACAATAAAGATTGATAATAAAAAAAAGAAAAAGATGCTCAAAATTGTTAAATCTTAAAGGAAATGAAAATTAAGACACAATGAGATATCACTTTATATCCATCAGAATGGCTATAACTAAAAAGGGAGAGAATAACAAGTGTTAATCAGTATATGGAGTAACTTGTAATTGCTGGTGGGAATATAAAATGGTCCGTTTTGGAATAAAGTTTGGAGGTTTCTTAAATAGTTAAAAATAGAGTTGCCACATGAACCAAAATTTTACTCCTAAGTAAGAAACAAAACAAATATGGCCACACAAATATCTGTATGCAAAATGCTCATAGCACCATTATTCATTACTCAAAGTGGAATCAATCCAATGACCACTAACTAGTGAGCAGATAAACAAAACGTGATATATCTATACAATGAAATACTATTCAGCAATAAAAAGGAACCAGTTAATTACATACTACATCATGGATGAACCTAAAAAACATTATGCTAAGTGCAAGAAGCCAGGCACAAAAACACACATATTGTGTGACTCTGTTTATAGGATGTGTCTGGAAAAGGCAAATCTATACAGACAGAAAGTGGATCAGTGGTTGCTGGGTCTGGGGGAAGGGGAAGGAAATCAGGGCTGACCGTAAGTGGGTATATAAGGGATCTTTTGGGGGATAGAAGTATTCTAAAATTGGATGGTAGTGATGGTTGCACATTCTTTAAATTTATTGAACATCATTTAACAGTACACTTAAAACAGGTTAACTATATGGTAATTAAATTATACCCCAAGAAAGCTGTTAATATATATAGTTAACACTTTAAGTGCCCAGCCTGTTTTGTCTTCCAGATGGAAAAGTATAGTGTTAGTCACTGGTGACTGACTGGGCGCTTAACGTGTTAAAAAAAACAACAACAAAAACACTCAAAAGTAACTTAAATAATCCTATTATACATGGTAAACAATATTAACCAGTATAAACTGCTAAAATAAATCTTATTATAAAAAAACCCACATTCTTGGTAAATAATATGAAGTAATATATATTTGACATATATAGTGAATAGTCATTTGGTGAACTAGCTTTCAGTTTTCTGGCTCTCATTAAATTGGCCTGGCCTCATAGAGTGGTCAGGAGAATTATATAAGCTAATGCAGAGACTGGCACGTGGTGAGTGCCCAATGTAGCTAATGAAGTTCTTGGGGCCTCAGTTTCCACATTAGTAAAATAGGGATAACAACCCTAGTCTTCAGGGTTGTTGTGAGGATGAAATAAAATAATGTATGTAAATAGCTAAGATAGAAGTTGCTACAGAGTGGGAGCTCTGTAAATGGTAGCTATTTATACCCAGATCTTTTATTAACATCTAATTAGGAAAAATGTCAAATATATTCAAAAAATATAAAAGTATAACCAATTCCCATGTACCTATCACCCAGTTAAGTTCTGGCAATTATTAATCTTGTTTCACGCCAATCTTGTTTCATTTGCACCTCAGCCTCCGCAAAACACTGCCTGGATTGTTTGGAGAAAAGCCCAGACATAATATCATCTGATCTCCAAATATTTCTATACCTTGACTCTGTAGGTAACTTACCAGCTGCTTCTGGCAGCTTCAGGAGGTGATAGAAGTAGGGAAGGGTCTCCCCATATCCTCAATAGCCATTACTGGCTGGACCCTTAGGACTCTCGATTTTTTCTTCCCCAGAGACCACCCATTGGTTCTGGACAAAGGCGATCTCAACAGTCTCTCTCCTCTTATTCGTCAGTAACTAGATCCTCAAATCCCAAGGATAACTCTGCTGCTTTGAGAATGTGTCCTGCTCTCACACTCTTTTCCCTTATTTCTCTCCACCCTTGGTATCGGAAGACAACCTTTTCCTACAAAAAGGCTATTAAGGTATCCTTGTCACTTGTGTTCCCACAATGTACATACTCTGTATCTGGCTCCTGACTGCTCCTGTCTGGTGTTCTGAGCGCCCAGATGATAACTCTTTACTATCTTCCTCTGCCTGCCCACGTTTCAGAATTTCTGATGACCTATTCGGCTTCTGTTCATACCCATGCCATTATCACCATTATCATCACCTTTCACTTCAACTGCATCATTATATTTGTAAGAGCTACCATTAATTAAGCATTTACTATGTGGCAGGCCCTTTGATAAGCACTTTACATATACTATCTCATTCAGTCCTCCACAAGCCTAAGTTCTATCTATAGGATAGATACAATAAGGACACTGAAGCAGACAGGTTAGCTAACTTGCCATGGGTCACACACAAACACATGTCAGAGCTGCGATTCAAACTCAGGATTGTCTGATTCCCAAGTTCATGCTTTTTGTTGTGAACAGCCTTTATTTTATTCTTTGGGAAGATGTTCTGTTAACAATTATTTTAAGAAAAGTAAGACATGCTCATTGTACAAAATTAAAATGCAATTGAAGTAAAAATTTTCTCTCCTGTCTCTCCTATCCTACTTACCAGAAGTAACTACTGTTAACAAGTTTGATTGACAAGTATAAAATAATAAATATATTTATTTGCGTGCAATGTGAATATCTCTGGAAGGAAATCATTAACATTCATTGTCCATGGGGAGGAGGACTAGGGAACAGAGACAAATGAGAGCAAAATTGTTCACTATGTATTCTTTTTGAATTTTAAACTGTATAAATTAAAACTTAAACTTCTTCCAAAAAGTTAAATTAAAAATAAATATATCATATGATCATGTCAACTAATGTCATCTCAATAAATTTAATTTAAAAAATAAAGGGGAAAGTCTGTATACTGCTTTTCTACACACATGCATTTTTTTAATTCAAATGGAACTATTCCTATATATTATTTTATAAACTGATTTTTTCACTTAAGGATTTAACCTTGGACTTCTCCATGTCAATAAATATTAAACTCATTCCTTTTTAACAGCCGCATGGCATTCTATCCTACAGATGTACCATAATTTATCCAACCCTAATTGATGAACATGTTTCCAATCACTATTATAAACAATGAATGTGAGCATTTCTCTGTATACACCTGTGCAAATATTTCTGCAAAATAAATTCCTAAAAATTGAATCGCAAAAGGTATACACAAAACTAATGCTCTGAACCAGTGTGCTATATAACCTCTTATACCTGCCAGCAGTTCTGACCCACTGACTGGCTGGAATTTCTAGAACTTCCACAAGATTTTTCTAGGACTGCCAATTAGATTCTAGACCTCTCCTCTCCCTACCCATAAACACAATCATGGTTCTCTGAACGAAGTAATGATATCTGATAACATCTAGGTATTTCTCCAGATGCAGTCCCACCCCAACCCATGTTACAGTCCCAGATCCCAATTCCATGCCCTGTGTTAGTGGCATGTTGCCACCAACAGTCCCAGTATCTGTGTTTATGCTTTCCAAACTCACCTGCCATTAGACATCAATAAGGCCAGCGGACCCTCATTCCCATCAACGTCCAAATCTGGCGAGTCAGCTGAGTCATTCAGGCAGGTACCAGTGATGTTGTACTGCAGAAGAGGAGGCTGGGTTGTCACCTGTCTGGGTCTCCCATGTGAATCAGGATGGCCAGTTCCCTCCAGTTTCACTGTTTTAGTTCACTGTCAAAACCACCTGAACCAAGGCCTTCTATCATACTGTCCCACTTCCCACTTCGCACCCCAAATGATCACAGGAGTAGGAGGATGAGAATGGCTGGCTCAGGGGGAACCCTGTCTATCTTATAAAGCATGTTCCCTAAAAAGAGGGGGAACACCTTCACATACCCATAGAAGGCACCACAATCTTGAAGCAAGGTGGCGCCCTGGATGAGAGCTTTGCTCAAGGGCCTGTTTAAGACTCCAACCTGACACTCACAGAGCATGTTCTCAAATGTCAAATGTCATTCTCATCCAAGCATTTCAAGATTCAGCTTGCGTCCTGTTTTCTGAGAAGAGCTCCTGACCATTGCTCCTACCCAGATAGAATCATCGCCCTCAGTCCTAGGGTCCCACACACACCCGACTGTGGAATCTACCACTTCATTGCAATCCTTTTTTATGCCTGTCTTTCTCGCTAGCCTGTGAGCCTCTTGAAGGTTAGATCTATAGCACCTATCACAGTGCCCAGCATAGACAAGGTCTCAATAAATGCCTATTAGAGTAGTGGGACTGGTGGCCAAACATCAGGGGCCCTAAGGGACGTGGAGAAACAGGCTAGCCTGTCCTTTTGAGGCTCTGCTCTTCCGAGGGACACCAAAGGGTTGGGCTGAACCCATGGGCCAGCACCCACCTTTGCTTTCTGGGAAGAGCCTGTCTTCAGTGCCTGATGACTGTATATGTCCAGGAGATTATAGCTCAATTGGCCAGCAGGCCCCAAGGCTGAGCTCTCCTTGCCCTTTCGCTCAGCCTTCTTGAAGAGTTCCTTGGGCTTCAGGCCTTTCTTCTTTGAACCAGTTTTGGAGGGCAGTGACAGCCTGGATATGGCTACTGAAGTGGGATGGACTGGCCTGGTTAAGGGAGTGGAGCCGGCTGGGCAGATCCTCTGCATCCCAAAGATATTGCTCGTATTCCCAACCTTCTGTTGGAAGATATCCTATAAGAGTGTTAGTACACAAGGGGGTTAGAGCTTACTCAAGGGTTCTCTCTGCAAGAGCAGAGGTCCATTTCGTGGCACTGGCGGCACGGCTATGGAAATGGCTTACAAATGCTCCACAGATGCACACCTTAGTTTTAGCACAATAAGTCATCGAGAATTACTGGGTGGCATTTCTTTACCCAGCCACTGACGAATATAGAGAAGATGAGCAGAGGAAAAACCCAGCATTATTTGTCAAAACTGGAGAGAAGTGGGTAGGGGCTGGGAGGAGGGGGGCAGAAGTGGGGGAAATGGGATATATCTATAATACTATTAACAATAAAAATATATTTTAAAACTGGAGAGAAAAGTCTCCAAGAGCACAAAATAATTGAGTAAACTGGTGGTTCCAACTCTAAGGACTGCAGGATTTGAGAGAAAGAGAGAGGTTCTCATCTGAATTCTGCTACTAGCTACCTCTGTGGCCTCAGATAAGCAATCTGACCACTCGGGGGCTCTGTCTACTCAGCTGAAAAATTAAATAATTAGGCTAGATCAGTGGTTTGCAAAGATGGCCTGTGGCTCCTTTCAGCTTATTGGGAGGAGCCCTGAGGATTGGAGGGAGATAGGAGGCAAACAAGAGCACCTGGTGGAGCTCTGAGCCTCGCACCTTCAGCTTCTTCACAGCGGCTGTGCTTTGACTGATTGTATATATTAGACTTCCAAGTAAAATCTTATTTAAAATATCTGAAAGCCAATGGATCAGATATGATCCATCACTAAGTCCTCTTCCAAGAACTCTAAAGTTCTGCGCATACAAACGTGATTTAAGTGGGAAGAGCTGGGGAAGGGTTTTGACAAATGGGAGCGAAGGAAGAAGAGGTAGGAGGTGGACCAGGTAAGCTGTGCTATGGGCGGTGAAACATGCTGTAAGTGGTGAGGCTAGAAGACCAGCTTCCTGGTAGCTCACTCTGACTACCCTTCAGCATGGATTTAGTGCTAAATGGAACTTCACAGCTTCTGAGCTGAAGGAAAATTGAAACTTCCTCAAGTCCCATTCTCCTCTGATGCCTCTGCTACTTCACCAGCCCACACTGAGTTCTCTCTTTGCTGCAAAGTCTACTGATAACAATGGCTCACATTTATTGAGTACTTACTCTGCCAGGCACTGTGCAAGGGGCTCTACATACATTGGCTCTTAGTTCTCACAAAACTCTGCCAAGGTGGAGTTATCTCCACTTTACAGATAAGGATACTGAGGCTCTGAAAGGCTTGCAAGTGACAGAGCAAGAACCAGAACCCGAGTTTCTCTGAGTCTCTTACCACTACACCTTACTGCCTCGTGGTATATGCCACCTGTTGAAACATGGCTTTGTAATCATCTTCAACCCGGGAGAACTGTCATTTTGTAGAATGCAGAGACTGAATCAAAATATTAATAACAACAATAACTACTATTATGACTTCCACCACCCAATAATGACCCACCATCAGAATTTACTGAGAACCAACTGTGTGCCAAACACTGTAATTAATGCTCAACCTATATGACCTTATTTAATCCTTTTAACAACCCCTGAGTAGGTATAATTATACTCACTTTAGAGATGAGGAAAGGAGGCTTAGACAGGTTAACTCTGCCGGGTCCCCTACTGACTGTGAGTTCTTTGTGGGTAGGCATTGTATTATGTATCTTAAGCACCTAACCCAGTATGTAGCACACTTAAAGCACACAATGTTTGAATTAATAAATGAATGAATGAATGGAGTCCTTGGTTGGGCCTTCCCAACCCTTCCCCTAAGCCCTTATGCCAAGTGCAGAGGCCTGACCTGCCACTTGAGCCTCAAGCCCTTTCCAACCATCTCCCCTGCTCCCATGCTTCTTACTTCCACCAGGCGGATCTCCCTAGCCAGGTCTTTAATGAGCTGGACAGTCCGTACTGTGTCCGGGATCTCATCCTCGTGTTCTGGCAGAGCCTGTCAAACAAAAAGCATGAGGACAGACCCACCAGGAAATGAACAAGTGATTTTCGACAAAGGTTCCAAGATAATTCAAAAGAAAGGGTGGTAATACATGGTACTAGACCGATTAGATATCCATGTGCCCCAAAAGAACCTTAACCCCTATCCGACACCACACACAAAGACACGCATACAAACTCAAAACGGATCACAGGCCTAAATGTAACATCTGAAACTATAAACCACTTAGAAGCAAGCAGAAGAGAAAAATCTTTATGACCTTGGGGAAGGCAAAGATTTGTTAGGACACAAAAAGCATGAAACGTAAAAGAAAAAACTGATAAGCTGGGCTTAATAAAAAAAGAAAAGCATCTCTGGGAAAAACACTGTTAAGACAAGCCATAGGCTCAGAGAAAACATTTACAAAGCATATATCTGATAAAGCACAGGGTCAAGATGTGTGAGGAACTCAGATGCAGGCTTGGGCCACACCCTCAAAAAGCCAAGGACCTCAGGGAGATCCCTGGGAACATTCCTGTGAGGACAGAACTCAGTGCCGAGTAGTTCCTGGCCCACAGCTAGCTCAACAGCAACCCAGGCTGAGGGCTGTTGGTTGTCTCCCTTTAATTCCTTTGCAATCTTTCTGAGTCCTCGAGATTTACATGTTTATGTAGCCAGATCTGTCAAGCTTTTCCTTGGTGATTTCTTCCATCAGTTTTCACTTCACTTCGGTATCCAGAGGATTGATAAAAATTCCTCAGCATGTACTTCTTGTTTCCCATGCTTTGATTATTTTTTCCTTTAACTCTTTTAATCCATCTGGAATTTATTTTGATGGCTAGGCAGGGGTTGATGCCTAAAACCCATGTGACCAGCTGGATAACCTTAACAGCTTCCTCCTCCCACCCAGCCCTGGGGCTCTGGCGAGCAAGTGCTTCTCACAGAAGTCAGTCCTCTTCCATAAGCATGGCTCCTCAGATCTCCGTCCTACTCTCCCTTAGGCTACTCCACTTGGGGCCATCCCTTGGTCCCTGGGGCAATGCTGGCCCAAGGCATGAGTGCTTAGAACCCATCCACTTCCCTCCCTTTTGGTGTTTCTGGGACAGAGTCCTCTAAAGTTCACTAAATGGGGGGCAGGAGGGTCAGAGATGAAACTGAATGATGTCAAGATGTAAAGAAACAGAATTGCAGGCTAAGGCCCAGGCCTTGGAGATGTGTCTAAGGAGCAAAAGAGGGCACAAAACATGAAGTCCAAGGATATCTGAGGGGAAGTTCAGCAACAGGAATTGAGGAGATCTCCTTACGCATAAAAATAAGTCTATAAAAATATCGGAAACACCCTAGCTGTTTTGGCTCAGTAGATAGAGCATCGGCCTGCAGACTGAAGGGTCCTGGGTTTGAATCCAGTCAAGGGCATGTACCGACCCCGGTTGGGGTGCGTACGGAGGGAATCAACCCATTTGTCTCTTACATTAATGCTTCTGTCTCTCCCCTTCTCTTCCACTCCCTCTAAAAATCAATTAAAAAATACCCTTGGGTGAGGATTAACAAATACATACACACACATACACACACACACACACACACACACACACACACACACACACAAAACACTAGAGGTCCGGTGCACGACTTCATGCATGTGTGGGCTGGCCTGGCTGGGGGAGGGTCTGCAGGTGGTTGGCCAGCTGGCCCCGACCCCCTGGTCGAACTCCCGGCCAAGGGGACAGTTTGCATATTAGCCTATTATTGTATAGGATGTGTGTGTATACATATATATGCATATGTATCAAAAGCATAAAAAATTGATGTCTTCTATTTTTGCATTTCTTAAAATTGCTTTTTTAAAAATTCAGTATTTTGAGTAGATAATCCATTCACAAAATTTTTAAAAAATCAAACAATATAAAAAGATATATACTGAAAAACCTCATCAGCCCCATTAGGCCATCAGCTCCTTTAGGCCACCCCCATATGCCACTTTTATTAGTTTTTTCTGCATCCCTCCAGATTGTGTCTTAAGGTAAACATTAAGTACAATCAAATATAATTATTTTTTCCCCTCTTTACACATAAGGTAACACACTATACATACGGTTCTACACCTTTACTCGACAAATTCTAGAGATCTTTCCAAATCAGTACATAGAACTTACTGAATCTCTTCTATAGCTATTTAATATTCAACTAGGTATATGGATATTGATATATTTCTAAAAAGCCATTTTGGCAGTATGCATCAAGTATCATACATTTTTTTCCCCATGTACTTTGATCAAGTAATTGCTCTTCTAGGAATCTATCCTGAAGAAACTTCAATCAAGAGATCAGGGACAGCCCAGCCGTTGTGGTTCAGTGGTTGAACATCAACCCATGAACCAGGATTCGAGGTCAAGGCACATGCCTGGGTTTTGGGCTCAATCCCCAGTAGGGGGCATGCAAGAGATAGCCCATGGATGTTGATGTTTCTCTCTCATCATTGATGTTTCTATGTCTCTCTCCCACCCTCTCTCTGAAATCAATAAAAGTATTTTTTTAAAAAGAGATGAGTGATAAAAACTAATACAAACAGATATTCACTGCATAATTTTCTACAACTGCCCCACAAATACATGGATAAGTAAAAAGAAAGGAACAATACACAAGTGGTTAGGTAAGGATGATACATCCTTGCAAAAGAATATCATGTAACTATTAAATGTTTATGGAGAACTTTGGTGACACAGGAAAATTAAGATAAGCCAATGAATTCAGATATAAAATTGTATGTACAGGGTGACAGCAATTATGTTTTTTAAATGCATTATAAGAAAGGTCAGAAGAATATACAGTGGAACCTAGTTTCTTGAATTTAATTCATTCCCGAAGGCTGTTCAAGAAGCGATTTGTTCAAAAAGTGCATCATTTTCCCCCATTAAAAATAATGTAAATTGAATTAATACATTTCAGACCCCCAAATGATTCTGTTTCAACATTTCTTATATACAGTAGATGTCTAGTGTACTGGTTAATTTATAAACAAACACTTCTTAACTTTATAGAACCACTTCCTACGAGTCTTAAAGGAATTTTTCATATAGCACTGCCTCAGAGGTTTTATCACTGGCTAATTGCTTTTCCTTTATCCAATCAACAGCTTTCTACCTATTCAATTGCCCGAGGTTGCTGTTTTGTGAGCACTTTCACACCCTTAGCAACAGCAGCACTCCTGATGGCCTCTTTGTGTTTCAAAATTGTGCTAATCCAGCAACAAAGGCATTCTCTCCTTTGCTCTTGCCTTCCATACACTTTTTGTCACATTGAGGCAACAGCATGAAAGGGTTGTCAGGTCACTGAAGTTTTGGTCAACAAGGGAGACTTTTTTCTGTGAACCACTTGCTTGTCTAACTGAATTGTTCCAGATGGGAGATGTTTGAGAAATGAGGTTTGATTGTATATCCAAATGCTAACGTTAATCCCCTCTGAGTATTAAAATTACAGGTGGTATTTTTCTTCTTTATACTTTTTTTGTATTTTTTAATTCTCTAGAGTAGGCATGTATTACTTTTTTTATAATCAGAAAAAAAAGTTTGAAAACGTAATTCAAACAGTCCTAGCCCAGTCCTCTATGCTAACGCTGCTAGCCCACAAGCCTCCCACAAAGAATCTACCCAAAGCCAATCCCCATGAAGGGCAGAATTCTAGAGGCGGTAGAGAAATAAACGTATTTACTTCTTTCCTTGTCCAGGCTCTAAAGGCCAAGTTCAGAGCTTTGCCACCATGGATCAGGTAGGAGGCAGGGTGTCTCCTGTTCTCTCGCAAACCTAAAGGGTGAAAGAGGAAGGCAGAGGGTGAGCAAAGCCATGCAGGGAAGTGAAGGGCTTCTTTTTTTCAGGCAACCAGAGAAAATGCTCGAGGTTCTAAACACAACTCCAGATCTCAGTTGTTATAATAGTGCTCGTTTAATGAGTACCTACTATGTGCAGGCATCTGACATCTACATTCCCATTTATACCCAACCCAGTAAACCAAGTATCACCATCTTCGTTTTGTAGGAAACTGAGGCTCAGAGAGGCAAAGAGACTTAACCAAGGGCATACACCTAGGAAATGGCCAAAGCCAAGACTGAAACCATGTCTGTCTGCATCTGAGGCCTGTGCTTCTCCCAGGCACTACTCTCCCTCTTGGGTTCCAAAATATAACTCAGGACTACTATGATTGGCCCCCTCTACACAGATCTGAAGGGCCATGTAATGCCCTTGTTCTGAGTTACTCCAGGAGGAGGTTACGAGAAAGCCGGATTTAGTTAGGCGTAATAAAGAATTTTCTACTAAACTGAGCTTTTCAGAACAAGTAATAAACAGTCATTTACACTCTGAACACTTAAGTGACAGTCTGTCTAGGTGGCAGAGTAAGGGCTTGAGGTATTGGGTAGGAGACTATTCTTTGGTCTCTGAGGTTCTTTACAACTCTGAGTTACTGATTCCTCCTGCCAAAGTCATCTTGAAGAATTCAGGTCTAATCAAGGGAACTAAATAGTTGATTTTAGAGCAGAGTGGGCAAGAAGACACCCAGTAGGATAGCTTCCACCTGGGTTGAGACCCGGCACCAACACAATAATACCAGGAAGATCAGGACTGGGCCTTGTCCCCATGGGAAGTAGAATTGCTCAGGAAACTCTGAGACTATCTAGACTGAGTTTCTTATTTTAATTGGTAGGGAAGAGGAATAATTTCACTGTTATTCCATTTTCTCAGCCACCTTTGCTAAATAAAAATGTTTAAATCCATGCTCTCCCCTACACTGTGCTTAGTAAGACAATCACAAAAGATCACATGCTGTATGACTCCAGTTTTATAACATTCTTGAAATGCAAAATTATAGAGATGGAAAACAGGAAAATTATTTCCAGAAGTTATGGTTAGTGCAGGGAAGAGAGTGGGTGAAACTACACATGGTGACAGAATAGTACTGTATCTCAATTGAGGTGATAGTTACATGCATACAGGCACACACACATGCTCAGGAGATTAAGATAAAAGGCACAGTTGGCAAAGGGCTTCATACCTCGAAAGATGTCCAGGATATGCTTTCCCACATACCAACAAATGGTCTCAAAGTTGGGGAACTTGAAGAGGTCTGCAGTGCTCAGCCGCTTTTCAATTTCATAGGCTCTGGAAAAAACAGGCAAAACAGCGATAAGCATCCTGTTTCCTGAGCATCTACTATGTATCAGCTACTGTTCTGAATGCTTGGGTGGGGAATGTCAGGCCCACAGGCCTTATCATTTGGTCTGGCCCTGTGAAGGCATTAAGGGTGAGTTAATTAAATGTTTGACCAAATTTGTTAATTAAAAATTTTTTTAAAATATATTTTTATTGATTTCAGAGACGGAAAGAGAAAGACGGAAATATGACTGATGAAAGAGAATCATTGATCACCTGCCCCACATTGGGGATGGAGCCCGCAACCCAAGCATGTACCCTGACCGGGAACCAAAAACCATAACCTCCTAGTTTATAGGTCAATGCTCAATCATTGAGCCATGCCAGCTGGGGTAGCAGGGTAACTTTTAAGTTGATAATTTTGTATGGCCCAAGAATGATATTATAAATATCCAAATGGCCCTTAGCAGAAAAAAGATTCCCCACCCCTGCTGTATATCCATTATCTCTAATCCTCAAAACTACCCTTTAAGATCATACTTTATGGATTAGGAAACTTGGGCTCAAAGGTTATGTGACTTGCCCTGGCTAGGTGGCTCAGTTGGTTGGAGCACTGTCCTGTACACCAAAAGGTTTCAGGTTCGATTCCCGGTCAGGGCACATACCTAGATTGCAGGTGCAATCCCATCAGGGTATGTTCTGGAGGCAACTGATTGATGTTTCTCTCTCACATCAATGTGTGTGTGTCTGTTTGTCTGTCTCTCTTTCTCTAAAAGTCAATAAATATATACTCAGGTGAGGATTTTTTTTAAAGGTTATGTGATTGCTGAAACCGGTTTGGCTCAGTGGATAGAGTTGGTCTGCAGACTGAAAGGTCCCAGGTTCAATTCCGGTCAAGGGCATGTACCTTGGTTGCGGGCACATCCCCAATAACTGCAAGAGGCAGCTAGTTGATGTTTCTCTCTCATCGATGTTTCTAGCTCTCTATCCCTCTCCCTTCCTCTCTGTAAAAAAATCAATATAATATATTTTTTTAAAATAAATAAAAGGTTATGAGACTTGCCCAAAATCACATAACTACAAAGTGAGGAAGAGGTATTCATCCTAAAACCGAAGAGCATGAGGAACCAGTATCCATTCCTTTCTGACCATCTTGCCTCCTTGGCTGCTGCACTCCTTACTATACAGGAGAACCCAAAGCCTCTAGCAATTGGGAATGGCCAACTTGGGATCACCACAGCCTCGGGACTCACTTGAGCTGCATCTCGATGTTAAGGCTGTGTAAGAAGTTCCCTCCAAAGGCAAGGCAGTCCACCGGGGTCAGCACAGCATGGATCCATCCTGCAGTGCAATACGGCAAAATCAGAGCTGGAAAACGTCTCCACTCCCCACTCAGCTCCAACACAACTCCTTAGAGCAGGCAGCTTGGCAGTGACTCAGAACATTCTAGGTTCCTCTGGTTCTGAGCATTTTAGGTTCCTCCATTCTCCCAATACACACCCTGGCAAAGTTGGCCATCATTAGAACCCTGAACTGGAACAATCTATGAGGGTAATAAATTCCTACTTCCCTCCTCTCCTCTTCAAAATCTCTCTGTTGCCTCACCCATCCTCTCTCTTGTCTCTGAGAAGGGCAACACCTCCTCGCCATGACTACCGCTTCTAACTCTGCTCTAGATAAAACAAAGAGTTCTTGTGTTGGACAGATCTGGGTTCTAATCCTGCCATTTCTAGCTAAATGTCCCCTTCACAGGTTGGTTGTGAAGCATGCACCTAAGTTGGAAATCTATTCTCCTTGCACATAACAGAATACCACCTCCTGAAAATTTTCTGATTTTTCTCCTCAAATCTCTCTCGTATTTACCTCCCCTTCTCCACCCATACATCCACACATCATCCATCCATCCTACCAATGCTGTGGTCAGACCCCTCACTATCTCGCACCTAGGCTACTTACAACAGCCTCGAAACTGGCTCCTCTACACCAGCAGTTTTTAAATTGTGACCCAGGAAACCCTAGGGGATCCCTGAAACTCTTTCAGAGTATATCCAAGATCAAAACTATGCGCATGATAATACTGAGATGTGATTTGACTTTTTCACTTCACCCTCATCCTCTCACGAGTACACAGTGGAATTTTTCCCAAGGGTATATGACATGATATCACCGTATGCAGAAGTAGATTTGAGAATCCAGTTGTTTTCTGTTGGCCCAACCATTAAAAATATTTGCAAAATGTAAATGTCAATTTTCTCACTAAATTTTGTTTTGGTTTGAAAATAGTTATTTTCATAAATATTGATGTCATAAGCTTATTACTATTATCTCCGAATGGATTAATATATATTTTTGCATTTTCTGTTTTAATTTATAATATGAGAAATTATTAATAAAAAAACAAAAAGTAAATGCTCTTTTGTGTCCTCAATAATATTTAAAAGTATAAAGGGGTCCTGAGTGCAAAGTGCTTGCAAGCCACTGCTCTATACCAATCTCAACCTCTGAAGTCCATCACCCAAAGAGATATAACTAAAATACCAATCTGCCCATGTTATGCCCTGCTCATAATTCTTCAGTGAAATGTTCATCTACAGAAGGATGAATAAACTGCCATATACCCATACAACAGAACTCTGGAAAGCAAGTAAAATAAATTAATTTCAGCTACTTGATCCACAATCACAATGTCCGGGGGTGGGGAGCAAGTTAAAATAATATTATCTCTAATATGATGATTCCATTAATATAACATACAAAAACATGTAAAACAGTATCATACATTGCTTAATGAGGCATCTTATGTAATAAAAGGATCAAAATGCATAAGAATGGCCAAAATCGGTTTGGCTCAGTGGTAGAGCGTAGGTCTGGGGACTGAAAGGTCCCGGGTTATATTCCGGTCGGGGGCATGTACCTTGGTTGCAGGCACATCCCCAGTGGGGGGTGTGCAAAAGGCATCTGATCGAAGATTCTCTCTCATTGATGTTTCTAACTCTCTATTCCTCTCTATTCCTCTCTGTAAAAAAAATCAATAAAATATATTTAAAAAAGAAAAGAAAAAAAATGCATAAGAATGATAATCACTAACTTCAGGACAATGTCTAGCCCTGACAGAGAAAATGTGAATGTAATTGAGAGCATATAGGAGATCTCATATATATTTATAATAATTACCCAACTTGGGAGCACCTAAATATGTAAAGCAAATTTGATGGATATAAAGGGAGAGACTAATAGTAACACTGTCATCATAGGGGATTTTAACACCCATTGACATTGATGGATAGATCTTCCAGACAGAAAATGAACAAAGAAACGAGGACCTTAAATGACACACTAGATCAGATGGATTGAATTGATATCTTCAGAGCATTTCACCCCAAGAAGCAGAATATACATTCTTTTCAAAGTGCACATGGATCGCTTCTCGGCCTTTTGGCTAAGATCATGTGCAAAGTGCACATGGAACATTTTCTAGGATAGACCACATGTTAGACTGCAAAACAAGTCTCAATAAACTGAAGAAAATTGAAATCATATCAAGCATCTTCTCTGATGGTATGAAACTAGAAATCAACCACAAAAAATATGAAAAATACAAACACCTGGAGGCTTAATAGCATGTTACTACTAAACAATGAATAAGATAATGAGATCAAGGAAGAAATCAAAAGATATCTTGAAATAAGTGAAAATGAGAACACAACCACCCAAAGCAGTCCTTAGAAGGAAATTCCTGCCGAAACTGGTTTGGCTCAAAGGTAGAGCGTCGGTCTGCGGACTGAAAGGTCCCGGGTTTGATTCCGGTCAAGGGCATATGTACATTGGTTGCGGGCACATCCCCAGTAAGTAGGGGGTGTGCAAGAGGCGGCTGGTCGATGTTTCTCTCTCATCGACGTTTCTAGCTCTCTATCCCTCTCTCCTCTTCTCTGTAAAAAAAATCAATCAAATATATTTTTTTTTTAAATCAATAAAATATATTAAAAAAAAAAAAGAAGGAAATTCCTAGCATTACAGGCCTATCTCAAGAAACAAAAATCTCAAATAAACAATTTAACTTTACACTTAAAGGAACTTGAAAAAGAATAATAAAGCCCAATGTGAGTAAGGAAGGAAATAATAAAGATCAGAGGAGAAATAAAAGAAACAGTCTTAAAAAAAATAACAATACAGCCGAAACCGGTTTGGCTCAGTGGATAGAGTGTCGGCCTGCTGACTGAAGGGTCCCGGGTTCGATTCCGGTTAAGGGCACGTACCTTGGTTGCACGCATATCAACAGTGGGGGGTGTGCGAGAGGCAGCTGGTTAATGTATCTCTCTCATTAACGTTTCTAACTCTCTATCCCTCTCAATTCCTCTCTGTGTAAAATCAATAAAATATATATTTTTAAAAAACAAACAAACAACAATACAAAAGATCAATGAAACCAAGAAAGAGCTAGTTCTCAGAAAACAAATACAACTGACAAACCTTTAATCTGACTCATCAAGAAAAAGAGAGAACCCAAATAAAATCAGATATGAAAGAGGAGAGTAACAACTGACATGAAAAAGGATTGTAACAAAATATTATGAAAAACTATATGCCAACAAATTGGACAATCTGAAGAAATGCATAAATTCCTAAAAACATACAATCTTCCAAAACTGAATCAGAAAAAATCATATAACCTGAATAGACAGATGACAATTAGTGAAATTGAAGCAGTAATAAAAAAAACTCCCAACAAACAAAAAATCCTAGACTGAATGGCTTCACAGGTGAATTTTACCAAACATTCAGAGAAGAACTAAAACATATCCTTCTCAAACTATTCCAAAAAATTCAAGAGGAGGGAGGACTCCCAAGCTCATTTTACACAACCAGGATTATCCTAATGCCAAAACCAGGTAAAGCCGAAACCGATTTGGCTCAGTGGTAGAGCATTGGTCTGCGGACTGAAAGGTCCTGGGTTCGATTCCGGTCAAGGGCATGTACATTGGTTGCGGGCACATCCCCAGTAGGGGGTGTGCAAGAGGCAGCTGGTTGATGTTTCTCTCTCATCAGCGTTTCTAGCTCTCTATCTCTCTCCCTTCCTCTCTGTAAAAAAATCAATAAAATATATATTTTTTTAAAAACAGATAAAGACACTACAAAGAAAGAAACTTATAGGCCAATATCCCTTATGAACATAGATGCTAAAATCCTCAACAAAATATTAGTAAACCAGATCCAGCAATACATAAAAAAGATCACACACCATGATCCAGTGGGATGCAAGGTTGGTATAATATCCACAAATAAACATGGTACAGCTCTGTCATCGTGGTTCAGTGGTTGAGAGTTGACTTATGAACCAGGAAGTCACAGTGTGATTCCTGGTCAGGGCACAGGCCCAGGTTGCAGACTCTATCCCAAGTAGGGGGCATGCTGAGCAATGATTCTCTCACCATTGATGTTTCTCTCTCTCCCTCTCCCTTCCTTTCTGAAATCAATCAATATATATAAAAAAGAAAACAGGGTAAGTGTGAAATTTATTATCTAAGCTCTTGTCTCAAGACTGGAAAAGGGAAAGCAAAATAAACCGAAAGCAAGCAGAAGGAAGAAAAAGATAAAAGCAGAAATCAGTGAAAATGAAAACATAAAGACAACAGAGAAAAATCAATGAAATGAGTGTTTTTTAAAGTTCAACAAAACTGATAAACCTCCATCAATATTCACACAGAAGAGAAGGCACAAATAACTAATATCAGGAATGAAACAGGATTCACTAGAGAATTAGAAGACATCAAATGGATAATAAGGAAATACTATGAACAACTCTACACACACAAATTTCACAACTTAGAAAAAATGGACCAACTCTCCTTAGAAGTACAAACTATCACAACTCATCCATTATGAAATAATTTGAATACCCTAATAAAGTTTAAGAAAATCAAATGCTAATTAGAAGCTTCCCCCAAAAGAAATCCCTAAGTCCATGAAATTGGACTTGAGAATTCTACCAAACGTTTTGAGAAAATTCAACACTAATTCTAAAATTAAGAAATCAAGAAAATTTAAATAATTGGAGAGACTCACTGTGTTAATGGGAGACTCAACATAAGTCATCTTTCCCCACACTGAGACAACTGGGAGGACTTTTTCAAAATACACACACTCAGATCCCACTCAAGACCTACAAATTCATCATTCTAGGGGTAAAGCTTAGGCATGTATTGCTTTGGAGAAAGGCCCACCCTCCCCCATGTCATTCTGATTTATAGCCTGCAATGCCAGCCTCCCAGTCACCATCATTAGAGTCATAGGGCTGAGAGTTCTGTTCTCTATCACCAAGTAGCCCAGTGCAAAGAAGTCTATTAACTCCTCCGGAGCCTCCCCACCATCAGCCTTCCCAAGTGGCCATGCTGCTCACTGGCCACCATGTGAATTTTCTTGATGTCCAGTTCTGAGCCTTCAGCTGATATGAAAGGGATATCCCACAAAAGCACATCAACACATTATAGGAAGGGGCTGGCTCTGATGCCCTCAGCTTTCCGCCCTCCTCAAATGATCCCAGAGGGGCCCAGAAAAGACCTGTGGGAATGAAAAGCGTCTGTCCTTGCTTCACAGAACACTTGTAGCACTTGTCCACCTGGTCCCCAAAGAACATCTCATCCTGGTTAGAGGAGCTGCTCCAGCCCTCAAAGAGAGTCAGGTTGGCATTTGTTGGGCGGATCAGGTAGAAGATCTTTTCACCCTGAAACAAAAAGAGGTTGAAATGCTAAAAACATCAAGGGTTTCCAGAAAAGTCCTCAAGGGGGTCTCCAAAAGGATATTCTCTCTCCCATGCTCTAAAACCACGTGGTATGCCAGGATTCTTTTCCAAACCCATCCAAAGATCATTTTATTGGAATGTGGAAAACTTCAAAAGGTGCTTTTTCACTTTTAAGCTTCCAGGATATTGACAAAAATCATTTAAAGAGTATTTCAAACAAAACTGTTCAACTTAGCACAAATGTACACCAAAGGCTCCTATTTTTCATGCAATACCAAATGAAAAATGGCCTCTAAGGACAAAAAGATCAATAGTACTAGCCCTAGGAGAATTTAAGGCCACATTACCAATGAGAAGAAATTGAATTTGCCTTTAAATGCCATTTACAGAGAGTATTCCTTCTCACACCTACAATCAAAGCTAATAAAAGTTTAGAAGTTCAGTAATCGCCTAAGGACTTCTGAAAGATTTTATGTTAGGTGATTATCTACTAAAAGAACATTTTATTTTCTTATTATATTTTGCCTGGATAATCACCAGATAGATCATTTGGCAGAAAAGACATAAAAACCCACTAGCACAAAAATATCCCAACCCACAGCTTTAAATACTTTAACCAATATTTCATTATAAATTTCAATGAAGAAAAGCAACAGAAGAAATTATCTTTAAAAATTATCTATTGTACAATTAGAGAAATTTGAATCAGATCTGTAGATTAAATAATAGTATATCAGTATTAATTTCCTGATTTTGATAACTTTAATATAATGCCCTTGTGTTTAAGAAATACACACTGGCCGAAACCAGTTTGGCTCAGTGGTAGAGCGTCGTTCTGCGGACTGAAAGGTCCCAGGTTCGATTCCGGTCAAGGGCATGTACGTTGGTTGTGGGCACATCCCCAGTAGTCGATGTTTCTCTCTCATCGACATTTCTGGCTCTCTATCTCTCTCCCTTCCTCTCTGTAAAAAAAATCAATAAAATATATTTAAAAAAAAGAAAAGAAATACACACTGAATTATTATGAGGGAAACCATGTCTGCAACTACTCTCAAATGTTTCAGAAAAAAAATCTATATATAAAATCATTTTATTATGTTTGCTTTAGAGAAAGAAAGATGGTAACCTTTGGAGAATCTAAATAAAGGAAACAGAAATTCTTCCTGTTATTTTTGTATTTTTTCAATAAAAATTTACTTAAAAATAAAAAATGTCTGAATAGTTGGCATGGCTCAGTGGTTGAGCATCAACCTATGAACCAGGAGGTTGCAATTCAATTTCCAGTCAGGGCACACGTCCAGGTTGCAGACTTGATCCTCAATGGGGTGCATGCAGGAGGCAGCGGATCAATGATACTCTTTCATCATTAATGTTTTCTTTTTCTTTTTTTAAATATATTTTGATATTTTTACAGAGAGGAAGAGAGAGGGAGAGTCAGAAACATTGATGAGAGAGAAACATCCATCAACTGCCTCCTGCACACCCCACACCCCACACCGGGGATGTGCCAGCAACCAAGATACATGCCCTTGAACGGAATCGAACCTGGGACCCATCACTCTATCCACTGAGCCAAAAACGGTTCATCATTGATGCTTTCTATCTCTCTCTCCCTCTCCCTTCTCTGAAATCAATAAATATTAAAAAGTAAAATAAATAAAAATAAAGAAGTTAAATGTAACATTTGCATAATAGCTCTTCATTTAAATGCTCCAGCGGACAGGAGCATGCTGGAAGGGGTTAATGGGGGAGAGGGGAAGAGGACTATGTAATACTTTCAACAATAAAGATAAAAAGAAAGCAAATGCTCCAGCCTGGCCAGTGTGGCTCTGTGGTTGAGCACTGACCCATGAACCAGGAGATCACGATTTGATTCCTGGTCAGGACACATGCCCAGATTGTGGGCTTGATCCCCATGGGAGGGAGAAGGCAGCCAATCTATGATTCTCTCTCATAATTGATGTTTCTATCTCTCTGTGTCTCTCCCTTCCTCTCTAAAATAAATAAAAATATTTTCTAAACATATTTCATTGAGATTTTACAGAGAGGAAGAGAGAGGGCTTGAGAGTTAGAAACATCAATCAGCTGCCTTCTGCACACCCCCTACTGGGGATGTGCCCGCAACCAAGGTACATGCCCTTGACCAGATTCGAATGTGGGACCCTTCAGTCAGCAGGTTGACGCTCTATCCACTGAGCCAAACTGGTTTCGGCTAAAAAATATTTTTAAAATAAATAAATAAATGCTCCAATTTCTTCATGAGAAAACAATGGAAACAATTAGTTTAGCATTGGTGATCAGTTGGACAAGAGCCATATCCATTTTCTGCTCTATCCTTGACATTTCTGAAAAGAAAACTAAACAGGGTGAACAATGGTAGAAAACAATCAAAATTATTTAAATGTGCTTTCTGGACCTCAAAAATCCTTTGTAGTCATTAACAATTGATATGCTAATTAGAACTAAAAGGAAAATTATCTATAGGAAAGCTGACATTAAAACAAAACTTCTCATATATGCTCTGTCCTGATGGTGGTAAAAGTTACACAACTACTAGAGGCCCGGTGCATGGATTCGTGCACAGGTGGGGTCCCTCTGCCTGGCCAGCAGTCAGAGCTGATCAGGGCCGCCCAACCCAGGCCAGAGGGAGGGACCGCAGGAGGTTGGCTGACTGGGAGGAGACCGCAGGAGGTTAGCTGTGGGAGTGTACTGACCATCAGGGGGCAGCTCCTGCATTGAGCATCTGCCCCCTGGTGGTCAGTGTGTGTCATAATGACTGGTCGACCAGTCATAATGGTTGCTTAGGTTTTATATATATAGATAGCTATAGATATACAAAAGTGTCAAAACTCATCAAACTATACACTTGAAACATTAATTTTATGGTATACTAGAGGCCCGATGCACAAAATTTGTGCAAGGAACTAGCCCTCACAGTCCCTCACAGCCTCTCATAGCCCCGGCTGGCCCTCACAGCCCCTTGCAGCCCCAGCTTTGTCTGTAAGTTCGTCTGGATGGTCATTCTGCTGTTCAGTCTAATTAGCATATTAGTTCTTTATTATATAGGATAAAGTATGCCTCAATAAAGTTAGGGGGAAGGGAAGTTCTCAAGTCACCAGGAATTTCAGCAGTAAATATGGACATATGCACACAGTGGTACCCTGTTTCCCCAAAAATAAGACAGTGTCTTATATTAAGTTTTGCTCCCAAAGATGCGCAAGATCTTATTTTCAGGGGATGTCTTATTTTTCCATGTGTTAGGTCTTATTTTCGGAGGATGTCTTATTTTCGAGGAAACACGGTAGTATATATTGGTTCAGTTAAGAAGATAGTGGTTGGAAAAAATTTTAGGTATCTGCTGTTATTGGGGAAAAAAATGTTAAGCACCAAGTGTGAAGTAGAGACAGTTTACATGGCACACTCACTAAGTACCCAATCTTTAGGAAGGCCTCAGCAGCCTGTTTTGTGCTGCCACCTGAAAAAAAAACAGAGCCATACGCACTCCTACCTTGAGAACATGGTACCAGACTGAGGTGCCGCCAAAGTCAATGTGGAAGTCTGTGTAGCTATCCCGCACACTCATGAGGCAGTACTTCTGCACATTGGGTCTCTCAAAGATACACTCCTCGGGCCACAAGTTCTCCACCCAAGAGAGCTTCCGAACAATCTTGGGTGTCTCCACAAGGTTAGAAAGCCTAGCAAGGAAGGGGTGGAGAACAGATGTCAGTTGATTAGGAATTGAGGTTGAAGTCTGAATAAAATGCCCTCCGTTCCAGTGAGAGTCGATAAAGACAAAGTTGTTCTCTCCACAGAATCCCCAAGGGTATATACAACACTTGTTTCTGTAAATCTGGTCAGCATCCTCATTCCACTCAGCTCTTTAAGTCCCAAGTCCCCGCTCCATAGCCTTCCTCAGACAAAAGCGATCATGTCCTCAACTAAATGTTCATACCCCCAACCCCAGCCCACTCACGTGGCACTTGGTTTATAACAGTGAATTGTATGGTCCCCATCTCATGGTGTCTTCTTTATGAGGAACCTTTAGAGAAAGCTCTCTGGGCTCAGTTCCACGTAAAGAAGTGTTTCTCCCAAACATCTGGTTGTTTTTATACTATGCGAAAACCACAAATTCTGTACCATTGCATTCCCTTCTTTGTTCTGACCCTCAGGAAATTCCGTGAAAACTCTCAAGTCCTTCTCCATTAACTATCCAGACATCCGTACATGCATTTTGTGGGCAGATGACCCGCCAGATGTATGTTATCTCCCCGCCTTTGTTTTCCTTTTATTCCAATTTTCTCCCCCCACCCCTCTTTGCATCTCTGTAAGCTGCTTGAAATAGTCTTTCAAAATGAAGTGAGGTACAAACAAACAGTTTTTTTAAACACCTTCAGGGTAACTTTGCTTGTTAAAACCAATAGCAAGGGTTTCAATATTGTAGTATAGTTATTGTAAGATGTTGCCATTGAGGGAAACTGAATGAAAGACACATGGGACCACCCTGTACATTTTTTTTTGTAACTGCATGTGAATCTATAATTATGTCAAAATTAAAGGCTAAAAAGGTAAACAATCAGGCTGTACTCTTCCTAAGTGCAACAGGATGTGTTATGATTTTGGGGGCTCTCCATGGTTTTGAGCACAGAGAAGACTACATATATCTACTAAGTATTTAAGTCCAGACAGAATCATTTAAAGGTCATAAGCTTTTCTCCCTTTTTAAATCTAAGAAACCTTATACTTAGAGAAATTATTTGGGGGTAATTTTAGTAAATCTATTTCCAGGAACAGAGGACCTATCCTGGGAGTTAAACAAATGACCATGCCACATTCTGAATATCAGAAGGTCTAAGAAAGCGGCCCTGGTCTTGAAGGAGATAAAAGTCAATTAAATTAGCTACTATTTAATCTATCCACCGCTAGAAACTGTGAAGGAAAAATACGATTTGGTTGTTATGTGAGCATCAACCCTAGTAAAGTATAAACCAGCTCCCCAGCCCAAAGGAAGTTACCATGGAGGAAGGGAAAGGAACACTAACCTGTACTCAGTATATGGTAAGTTCCAGGCATTTGTGAGGCTTTTTACTCACCCCTGTCCCTCCTACCTGGTATCAGAGAATTCCAAACTGATGACATTGAGGACTTTCTCCCTCTTCCCACTGTAGTAATACTTCACAAAATCACCGAGCTTCATCTTGCAGTCGGCCTGGCGAGCCACATCGATCACATCAATCTCTTTGTCAGAACCTGGAATAAAGAGATGGGTTCTGTACCAAGTGGTCTCAGAAACCGGGGAAGCGTCTCTCATTCCCTTACCGATCCCTAGAATGGCCTGCACTCAAAACCTCTCTCCTCAAACATTGTATTTGTATATGCATGTCTCAGAGCTGAGTGTAGGAATCCCTTGTACTTTCCTATGTGCTGGGTCCAGGACTGCTAGGGCAACAGAACTGCCTGACACACAGTCTCTCATAATACAGTCCACCTGCCTAGGCCCTGCTTCCTCACTTACCGACATAGTGCTCCACGTCCCTCACAGTGAATGATGGTGAGGGTAGCGTCATCCCCAATCCATCCTTCTTCAAGACCAGGATGGGCACACTGAAGCTATTCTCTTCCAGGAATTCCACAGTCAGCTGACTTCCAGTGGGCTTCAGAATCACTTCATCTGAGCTGTAGGCCATAGGAGAGAAACGCTGAGCCCCAGAGGCCCTGCCACTGAAGGCCTCACTAGATGCTACAGTTCACTTATGGGGTGGGATCTTGCTGCGGGGATCTAAGATGAGCTGGCAACTAATGCCATAAACTGCATGTGCCAGGGAAGAAAGGACCTATCCAAGGCAAGAAGCCAGGTCACTGGCAGAGATGGAAAGCTTAACCCAGGATATCCTGTCAATAGGGTGCTCTTCTCTGGAAGTCAAAATAGACTCGCCCAAGCCATGGTACTTTGTTTTTTGTTGTTGTTGTTTTTAAAATATATATTTATTGATTTTTTTACAGAGAGGAAGAGAGAGGGATAGAGAGTTAGAAACATCGATGAGAGAGAATCATCAACCAGCTGCCTCTTGCACACCCTCTACTGGGGATGTGCCTGCAACCAAGCTACATGCCTTGACTGGAATCGAACCTGGGACCCTTGAGTCCGCAGGCTGACGCTCTATCCACTGAGCCAAACCGGTTTCGGCGCCATGGTACTTTGTGGAAGAGCCACAGTCAAGGGACCAAAGAGCTCTGCAAGTGGATCACGAACCGCAGTTTGCCGATTACGGCTCTAGACAATTCAAAGATTAAATTGAAAAAAATAAATACATGTAATACAAAAAAAAAAAAAAAAAAAAAAAAAAAAAGAGAGAGAAAGATAAGGTGCAGGACCTCCTAAAATAGCAAAAATAAATTTACATAAAAATTAAAATTTTCTGCAAGAAAAGCTATCATAAATCAGCAAGAAATAGGCAGCAACCCAATAGAAAAATTGTCAAATAACATAAGCAAGCAGTATAAGAGAAAGGAATAGGATGATTTATAAACATACAGAAATATATGTCTTCCTCATAATTAAAGAAATCAAGTGGAAACATTTCATTTTTTATCTTATCAGAAAAGCAAAAAAGCCCTAGCCAGTTTCGTTCAGTGGATAGAGAGTCGGCCTGCTGACTGAAGGGTCCCAAGTTCGATTCCCGTCAAGGGCACATTTCCAGGTTGTGGGCTCGATCCCCAGTAAGAGGCGTGTAGGAGGCAGCCAATCAATGATTCTCTCTCATCACTGTTTCTATCTCTTTCTCCCTCTCCCTTCCTCTCTAAAATTAATAAAAATTTATTATAGCCAAAACCGGTTTGGCTCAATGGATAGAGCGTCGGCTTGGGGACTGAAGGGACCCGGGTTCGATTCCAATCAAGGGCATGTACCTTGGTTGCAGGCACATCCCCAGTAGGAGGTGTGCAAGAGGCAGCTGATAGATGACTCTCTCTCATAGATGTTTCTAGCTCTCTATCTCTCTCCCTTCCTCTCTGTACAAAAATCAATAAAATATATCTTTAAATAAATAAATAAAAATTCATTATAAATATATAAATTATAAATTAAATATAAAAATTATAAATAAATAAATAAGCAAGCAAGCAAAAAAACAAAAAACAAAAAAAACGTTTGATAGTAAACAGTTCCAGCCGGGATACAGGAAATTAGATACTTTCACACATTGTCTAGTGATTGTCTAGTGGGAGTGTGAAATATAGCCACTCTGCAAATAATTTGGCAATATTTGTAAAAATTTTTAAAGCACATACTCTTTGACCTAGCAATTTCACTGTTAGGTAATGAATCTACAAAATAAAATTATCCACATATGCAAAAACTTGAATATAAAGACATTTACTGCAGTAATTTTTTTCTAACACCAAAATACTATGATCAATTTAAATGTTCCTCAATAGAGGGTTGGTTAAATAAATTATTTATCCATACAATCGAAGACTAAACATCCATGAAAATAATAAAGAACATGTGCATGTGTAAATTTGGACTGATCTTCAAGATGTATAATTTTAGCCCTGACTGGTGTGGCTCAGTTGGTTGGAAAATGTTCCACGCACCAAAGATTGTGAGTTTAATTCCTAGTCAGGGCACATACCCAGGTTACGGGTTTGATTCCCAGTAAGAGTGTGTTCAAGAGGCAACTAATCGATGTCTCTCCCTCTTCCACTCTCCCTTCCTCTTTCTAAAAATCAATAAAAATGTTTAAAGAAAAAAAATGTTTAAAAGGTATATAATTTTAAGTTAAAAAAGCAAAATGCAGAATATAGTGTTTCTATTTGTATTTTTTAAAGATTAATTGATACACACACAAACACATACATTTTTTTTTTAATCCTCACCAGAGGATTTTTTTTCCCCATTGATTTTTAGAGAGTAGGAGGGAGGAAGGAGTGGGAGAGAGAGAGAGAAAGAGAGAGAAACATCAATGTGTGAGAAACATCAATTGGTTGCCTCCTGCACACACCCTGACTGAATCGAACCTGCAAGTGAAATACATGCCCTTGACTGGGAATCAAATCTGAGGCCCTTCGATTAACAGGCTGAAGCTCTAACCGCTGAGCAACCAGCCAGACCACATTCTTATATAAGCAAAAACTACTTCTGGAAGAATGCACAAGAAATTGGTTAAATTTTGAGAGGAGATCTGAGGATTCTGAGGTAGAAAGAAAACTCACTGCCTTTACATAAATAAAACAAAAAATATTAAGTTAAAGAGCCAAAACCGGTTTGGCTCAGTGGTAGAGCGTCAGTCTGCGGACTGAAGGGTCCCAGGTTCGATTCTGGTCAGGGGCATGTATGTTGGTTGCGAGCACATCCCGTGGGGGGTGTGCAAGAGGCGGCTGGTCGATGTTTCTCTCTCAAGAAACATCGATGTTTCTAGCTCTCTCTCTCTCTCCCTTCCTCTCTGTAAAAAATCAATAAAATATATTTTTTTAAAAATATTAAGTTAAAGAAAATATTATAATTCTAAACAACACTTCAGTTATAGGAAAGCGAAAAATGATCCAATGAATTAAAAACTAAGCAAAAGGGAGTACCTTCATTCATTAACTTTTTAACTCATTATTTTTGTACAATTGATATAATTTATTTTTAATAAGCCCATCTTAATTTTTTTAAAAGGAAAACTTTCTTTTGATTGCAAAAGACAGATATGATCCTCATATTTTTTCTTTATTTTTTAAGAGATTTCTTGTCTGCACAATGAGAATTTAAATTTTCAGATCTTTAAGACTCCTAGTTGTCACAATCTGTGGGTGCATGTAAATATCCTCGCCTGACTTGAGCAAAACTGCCTCCCAATCTATCAAGTTTCCACACGTGGACCTTAATGTACTTTGTACATCAAATGAAACTATAGCAATGTTTCTCAGCAACTGACTGAAACAGAAGAGCCCTCTCTAGAGGGAACTCACAGAGCCCTGTAGACACCTCCAAGTGGGGGACGCACCTAATGGGACAGCCCGCGGGAAAGCCAGCTCCCCAGAGCCAGAGAGCTCACCAGCACTTGGGGTACAGTACTCACCTGTCAAAGGTCCGACCGCGGAGCTCTCGAATGAAGGTAGGGCTTCCCGTTTTCACCGGCTTCCCCTTGTGTGCGTCATGCCCTTTGGAAGACACACGGCGTTTTTTCACTAAGCCAGGAAAAGACAGGAGACGGTAAATCAGAATGGCTGACCCTGCTTCTCTTCCAATCTAATAACCCCTTTGGAGCCCCTGGAGTCCACAAGGCCCTCACAGACTGAAGAAAGTTCTTAGTGGGAATAGGTGCTTCCTCTGAGAAGTCCCCAGGAAGGGAGGGGGTGAAACTCTGCACTCTGCCCTCTCCATGGGGTGGCTGCTCCCCTGCAGGGCCTATATAGTCTCTGCTGTTTCCCAGGGGAGAGGAACCTGAAGCACCCACACGAAGGCAATCTCCCTTCCCAGCTTCCTTTGCTTTCTCTCTCCTCTGGCCCATGCTCTCTTGGAAACCCCCGAGATCTACTTACTAATGGAAGGCCCGTGTAAGACCTCACAGTTGGGGCAGTGGTAGAGATCAATGTCAGCAGCCTTCTCCTCTTCAACACCGACACAACTAAAAAAGACAAAGTCAGCCAAGGTTTATGGAAATTTTATTTTTATAAGGCCTATGACTGTGCTGTCCAGTGCACGTGATTTATATTTAATTTAAATTAAGTAAAAATTTAAAAGCAGTTCCTCCATCACACTAGCTATATTCAAGTGATCAACAGCCACATGTGCCCTAGGCAGTTTGGCTCAATGGAGAGAGCGTTGGTCGGCAGACTGAAGGGTCCCAGGTTTGATTCCGGTCAAGGGCACATCCAGGTTGTGGGCTCGGATCCCAGGAGGCAGCTGATCAATGATTCTCTCTCATCATTGATGTTTCTACCTCTCTCTCCATCTCCCTCTCTCTCTGAAATCAATCAATTAAAAAACAATTTCTGGTAAAAAATAATAATAATAATAGCCACAAGTGGCTAGAGGTTACCACATCAGACAGATTAATAACATTTTCATCAGTGTAAAAAGTTCTAGTAGACTACACTGGCCCAAAATACTTATGACAGAGTTAAAAATGTACAGACAGTAAAACTTCAGTAAGTCTCAGAATGGCCCTGGCCAGTTTGGCTGTTGGTTGGGTATTATCCCATGCACCAAAAGGTTGGTGGCTTTATTCTGTTCAGGGCTGGATCCCCAATCCCTGGTATGGGGTGCACGGGAAGCAGCGGATCAGTGTTCTGTTCTCACATCAATGTTTCTCTCGCTCCCTCTCCCTTTCTCTCTATATATCAATAAAAAATATTTTTAAAAAGACTCAGAATAGTCAGAGCAGAAAGAGAATCTAGAGCAGTGTTGTCCAATAGAAATATAATGTGAGCAAATAGGGAATTTTAAATGTTCTGGTAGCCACATGAAAAGGTAAAAAAGAAACAGGTGAGCCCTAGCCATTTTGCTCAGTGAATAGAGCACTGGCCTATGGACTCAAGGGTCTTGGGTTCAATTCTGGTCAAGGGCACATGCCCAGGTTGCAGGCTCGATCCCCAGTAGAGGGCATGCAGAAGGCAACTGATCCATGATTCACTCTCATCATTGATGTTTCTATCTCTCTCTCTCCCTCTCCCTTCCTGAAATCAATAAAAATATATTTTTTAAAAAGAAACAGGTGAAATTTTAATAATATTTTATTTAACAAATATATCCAAATTATCATTTCAACATATAATAAAAATTTTAAACTTTATTGAACATTTTACTTTGTTAAATGCAAATGACTAAAAGGGTATTTTATTGTCAATGGTAGTTCTGAGTGAAGGATTACAGGTAATCATTTTCCTCTTCCTTATCTGTATTTTCTAATTTTCTACAGTGAACATATGTTACTTATTTCATACTGTAATGTCTAAAAATTATTTCATTTTGAAGATTTGAGTTTACATGTATATGAGGTAGAAATCTCACAAAATTAAACCCTTCTTCACCAAAGAAGTCATCAGCAGTCCTCCAAGTAACTCTGGCTAAGATCAAACTCCTCAAATCTTTTAGTCAGCCACACACAGCAGGGAGAGTAAGAATAGGGCAGAGCTCCAACTATTTCAGCCAAGATCATGCTTATAAACTGACTTCCTGGGATCAGGACCCCATTACTTTCTTTTTAAATATATTTACTAGAGACCTATGCACAAATTTGTGCATGGCTGGCCCGCTCCAATGGGGGCTTATGGGTCCGAGGTTGGTTGGCAGGCTGGCCCCACCCCCAATCAGGTTGCTGGGGCCGATCAGGGACCAGGGGGCCCGATCAGGGCCCAGATCAGGCCAGTTGGCTGCCACAGTACATGTCATAGCCACCGGTCATTCCGGTCATTCTGGTCATTCTGCCATTCCAGTTGCTGGGCTTTTATACACTGTGTGGCCAGATTATGATGATCTCTGAAAGCATAATAATCCGGCCACCCAATGTACTTCTCTTGAGTACCTCATTTATTTGATAACAAAGATACTATAAATAGAGAACCTGCTCAGTTTTTCCCTTTGCACTGGCTGATAGAAAGCTCAGGGCAAATAGATGGTTGATTTCCAGCAACCCATTTGAGATACAAATACACTGAGTGGCCAAATTATTATGTGTTCAGAGATCATAATAATCTGGCCACTCGGTGTATATATAGATATATATTTCTTTATTGATCATAAGAGGAAGAAAGAGGGAGAGAAAGAAACATCAATGATTAGAGAGAATCAGTGATTGGCCGCCCCCTGCACGCACCCTACTAGGGATCAAGCCCACAACCCAGGCATGTACCCTTGGCCAGAATCAAACCTGGGACCCTTCAGTCCAAGACTGACGCTCTATCCACTGAGCCAACCGGCTAGGGCCCCATCACTTTCTAAAGTGCTAATCCTAATGTCCATAAACATACTGCATATCAATAAACTGGGGATATCACCATCAACTTTGTAAGATTTTTAAAAGGACTCAAATAATGTATATCTAAAGTACCTAGCACAGTGAGGACAGAGTCTGGTACACAATAAGTAGTTAGTAAGTAATAGCTGGTATTTTTCCACCTAGCCTAGACCTCACCCTTAACTTTCTTAAACCTTCTTTAAATATATTCCCCAAACCTTATAGCATTAACTCATTTCCCTGGACTACATCCTTTCTGTCTCACACCCCTATTACCCTGCACACTGCTCAAAAGGACCCCTCTAGTGTGTCTCTCCTGAACTTTCATCCCACATAGCTATGTGCTTTCCCTACCGCTCATCAACTTTCTCTCCTTTCCTGCTGCACTCCCAAAAATCCTATTTCCTGGTAAACAAACCCCTCTATATGCACGTCCCTTTCAACAAGCCCCTTCTCTTCACCTTTCTGGCTTAACTGAATGCAGCTTCTCACCGTTTTATCTATATCAGTACCACTCAAAGTACAGTGCATGCACTAATGCTGTGATAGATACAGAAAGAGCACAAAAATTGTAATGGCCATTTGGCTGAGGAATTTTACATCTGTTGAATCTAATAATAAAAAGTTTGGGCTTTTCTTTTGTGTAGCTTTTTTATTCAGACCACTTTTCGAGCAATTCATATTTTAGTTTACAAAAGGACTGGCCCATTATTGATTGGAAATTGAAAAGTTAAAGAAACATTTTGGTAGAGCCCTGTCAAGGCAGAAGTTGCAAATTCTCCCAGACTCTTATACCTCAGGCTGAGCTAGAGGTAGACATCCCCCTCATTCTCCAGTGAGATTTTGAAACAACTCTCCTCTACCCTTTTGTAGGATCTCCTATTCCTGAGTTTCATAGCAACTAACCATACCCCTTGCTACTCCTCTTCACCGTCAGCTACTCATCTCCCCAACATTATTGATTTTCCACAGAGAGGAAAGGAGAGGGATAGAGAGCTAGAAAAGTTGATGAGAGAGAAACATTGATCAGCTGCCTCCTGCACCCCCCAACCACTGGGGATGTGCGCACAACCAAGGTACATGCCCTTGACAGGAATCGAACCTGGGACCCTTGATTCCACAGGCCGACACTCTATCCACTGAGCCAAACCGGTCAGGGCCCAAAATTACCTCTTCACTGAAGAACCTACACAGATTCCTCTTCAACTAACTCCTGCCAATTTTCCACATGACACTGTTATCAATGTAGAGACCCAATATCTTGGCCTCTTAGCTCTCTGACCTTCCCATGTTTGGAGATTGCTGCCTCCACTTCCATTTCAGCTACCAACTCCTATAGTCAACACTTGCATTTGCTCCACCTATGAAATGTGAAATTCACACATCACACTCTCTGACCATAAGTATATCCATTCAGCTCTCATTCATTACACCTGTTCGTTGTCTGCAAAATCCCTTTGATCCTACTTTTAAGTGTGGAAAAAATATTCACCGATTCTTGACTTCACCCTTCTTCACTTCAACCATTCTCCTACAGATATCCTCAACTCACTTGCCCACAACTTCTCCATCACCCCCATATGCAAATACCAACCCTGGTTCAATCAAACTACATAACACTGAACCACTGGGCATGGCTAGAGAAGAATCACCTAATGGATCTGGTGCCACAATAAATTCATTGTCCAAAATATTTGAGTCACAGAATGACCAATACAATATTGAAGAAGAACTAAGTTGGAAGACTGATGCTACCTGACTTTTAAGACTTACTCTAAAGCTACAGTAATTACCCTAGCCGGGGGTGTCTCAGTGGTTGAGTGTCAACCTATGAACCAGGAGGTCACAGTTCAATTCCCAGTCAAGGCACATGCCCAGGTTGTGGGTTTGATCCCCAGTGGGGGCCATGCAGGAGACAGCCAATCAATGATTATCTCTCATCATTCATGTTTCCCTCTCCCTCTCACTCCCTCTTCCTTCTACTCTGAAATCAATAAAAACATATATTTTTAAATGCTCAAAAGATCTGAACAAACATGTTATCAAAGAAAATATACAGATGGCAAATAAGCATATGGAAAGGTGCTCTACATCATATGTCTTTAGAAAAATGCAAATTAAGCCGGGACGGTTTGGCTCAATGGATAGAGCGTCGGCTTGGGGACTGAAAGGTCCCGGGTTCGATTCCGGTCAAGGGCATGTACCTTGGTTGTGGGCATATCCCCAGTAGGGGATGTGCAAGAGGCAGCTGGTCGATGACTCTCTCTCATCGAAGTTTCTAACTCTGTATCTCTCTCCCTTCCTCTCTGTACAAAATCAATAAAATATATTTTTTTAAAATGCAAATTAAAACAACAGTAATAGGTTACTATATACATATCAGAATAGCCAAAATCCAGAATACCGACAACACCAAATGCTGGAGGAGAGGTGTAACAATAGAAACTCTCCTTCTTTGCAGGTGGGAATGCAAAATGATACAGCCACTTTGGAAGACAGTTTGGCAATTTCTTACAAAACTAACCATACTCTTACTATACAATAGAGCAACCATGCTCCTTGGCATTTACTAAAAGGAACTGAAAACTATCCACACAAAAATGTGCACACAGATATTTATAATCAGCTTTATTCGCAATTGCCAAAATTTGGAAGCAACCAACATTCCT